TTTACCATTTTGGCAGCTTTTTGCAGCACACCGAACTGGACTTACAAATTGTGAAAAATCGGTTATTCGGTGTGAGGTGTGAGGAACTGGTCTCGTCAGTCAAGGTTGGTGCGGTTGGACACTTACAAAAAGCGATGGATGGTATCAGGCGGTGTTGACTAAAACGGCTAGGTTGCCTAGTATAGACAGTATACAATTGTTGATAATTGTCCTGGCTGAATGTGTTTGCGATGGTGATGTTGATGGAAGAAAAAAAACCTGCACAGCTGTGGGACAGATTCGGGGTATATAGACCAACCTCAGGGGGCTACATTTGGCACAGATACAAGCTTGCTGCGAAAGAACAAGAATCAACACGCCTTTCAACTGCGTGAGGACAAGGCAGCCTCACAACCCTTTGCGCCTCGCAGTGACAAAGTCATTGTGCGCAGCTGAGGCGTACGGTCGACGCTACAAACATGTTGTTGGACTTCTTTTATGTCCTCGAAAGGGTTCGCACAATGAGAATTGCGAGTTGTGGACTTGGGCTGTCAATCAATGCTTGTCCCAGGTTGTGAAAGCCTCAAAAGTGTTCAAATCAGGGCACAATGCGCCTCATACCGAGGTGAGAGAACAAATCGAATAGAAAAAGAGCGCTACTTGGTCTGGGCCTGCCCATGCTCCTTGGAGCCATCGTCTTCACCTACCTATCTTGGGTTGCTTTTGGACCTATCAGCTTACACAATGGTGCTTCGACGTCTCAAGTGCCGCACTACGCTGGCGGCCTTGTCAAACATTAACCCAAAGCCAAAGCGGGGGGAGAGAAGGGGGCAGTAAACATAGAAGAGATGAATTCAGAGAAATATACCAAAACGAGTCATTCATAGACAGTTGTTCGTCAATGTCGTGTTGATTGCATTGAACGCTCGGCCGCGGTTGAAGCAGTCTTGCTACCCTAAAAAGTGCCGAAGTTGAGAACGCCACCCCAACTCCTCCGCCTCCAGTGATTTTATTTTACCCCCTAGTGGTTTAGTATATTTCCGCTTCAAATCAACGCCTGTAAGAAGAAAAAAAAATGATGCAACAAGGTGCCCTCGTCTTGAAGGCCACCTTTTTTTCCCTTTTCGCTCATGAACCATGTTAAATGTCATGCGCGACCATCCCTTAAAACCCTTTGAGCCGCCCCGCCCTTGATCCCTTAACCATTGTTTGTTGAACTGGGCCATTGTCATGGCCCAATGTGGTATAATCCGTATTCTCCCTTACACAAACGCCACGACGCTCCCTGGCATACGTGACTTGCTGATCGCTGGCACATGTACTTTAGATGCCAGCGTCGACACGCCAGCCCTCAACAGGGAGGGGGAAGCTGGCGCTCCAGGCAGCAACCTCCTTGCGGAGGTCGTTGATCTTGGCAACCTGGCCGCCGGCAACGGTGGCCTTGAAGTCCTTGAGCTTGTTGGCCTCCTTGGGAAGGGAGCCCTGGACCTCTTTGCAGATCTTGATGGACTCGTCGATGTAGGCGGCGACGCGCTCGAAGTCGGCCTCGCCGAATCCACGGGAAGTCATGGCGGGGGTGCCGATGCGGAGACCGCAGGGGGTAAGAGCGCTCTTGTCACCAGGAATGGCGTTCTTGTTGCAGGTGATGTTGATCTGCTCAAGGACGGCCTCGACGCGGGCACCGTCGAGGTTGAACTGACGGAGGTCGAGGAGGACCATGTGGGAGTCGGTGCCGTCGGCAACGAGCTTGTGACCGAGGGCCTTGAACTTGTTCTCGAGGGCCTTGGCGTTGTCAATGACCTTCTGCTGGTAGGCCTTGAAGTCGGGGCTGGCGGCCTGCTTCAGGGCAACGGCCAGAGCGGTGATGGTGTGGTTGTGGGGGCCACCCTGGTGGCCGGGGAAGACGGAAAAGTTGATGGGGTTCTCGAGGTCGTAGAGGGTCTCCTTGCCGGTCTTGGCGTCAACGGAGCGGACGCCCTTGCGGAAGAAAATCATGGCGCCACGGGGACCACGGAGGGACTTGTGGGTGGTGGTGGTGACGATGTCGGCGTGCTCAAAGGGAGAGGGGATGACACCGGCAGCGATGAGACCGGAGATGTGGGCCATGTCAACGACGAGGTAGGCACCGACGGAGTCGGCGATCTTGCGCATGCGAGCGTAGTCGATCAGACGGCAGTAGGCGGATGTACCGGCGACGAGGACCTTGGGGCGGAAGAGCTGGGCGTTCTTCTCGAGCTGGTCGTAGTCGATGATGCCAGTCTCCAGGTTGACGCGGTAGGGCATGGTCTCGAAGTAAGTAGAGATGGCAGAGATCCTTTGAAGAGGTCAAACGTCAGCATATGCCATCCAAATTGGAGCTGTGACAAGCATTCCCGAGAACTCACTTCTTCTGGGGGGTCTGGTAGCCGTGGGACAAGTGGCCACCGTGGGGGAGGTCCAGACCCATGAGTCGGCCGTGGACGGGCATGATGGCCTGGTAGACCTGAAGGTTGGCAGGGCTGCCGGACAAGCACTGAACGTTGACACCCCATTTGGAGGGGTCAAGGTTGAAGGCCTTGAGGGCACGGTTCTGGCAGAGGATCTCAATCTGGTCGATGTGCTCGTTGCCACCGTAGTATCTGGCACCGGGCTGGCCCTCAGAGTACTTGTTGGACATGGGGGAGCCAAGAGCGTCAAAGACGGCACGGGAGGTAACGTTCTCGGAGGCGATGAGAATAATGGACTCGCGCTGGCGCTTGATCTCATCCTTCTGTAGGAATTGGTTAGACCATTGTTCGTGTCCACATTCGAGGCATTGACAGAGCAACATACCATGATCTCGGCGACCTCAGGGTCGGAGTCGATGAGGGACCTCTCCAACATCTAGTCGAGTGAGTCAGCATACAAAACATTATCGAGGGCCGGAGGGGTAGAACAGTTGAACATACCTCCTTGTGGGAGACGGGGAGAGAGTAGGTAGAACCATTGGTAGCCATTGCGAATTATGGTGTTGCGAGATGCGGTGAGAGGAAGTGGGGGAAAGAGAAAACAATTCACGCAAACAATGACAGTGAAGAAGTAAGAGCAGGAGAAGGAAAGAAAAAGGGAAGCCAGCAAGCTTAAGAAGGGAGAGAAAAAAAAGCTTGAAAGGGAAGAAAAAAATTGGATGGCCGCATCCTCACGTCGAAGCGGTGGGGTGGCGGGGTGTGATTGGCGGGGTCAAGCTGGGCGACGAATGCCCCTCAACAGGGACCGGAGGGACCGGGGACAGTGCTGAGAGAGGGAGAGAGGGAGCAGTAAGCTGTAGTGGACATGGTGGAATGTGTGCAGACGCTGAAAGAGCGCGCATTGTATCCCTCACCTCACATCCGGTGGGTTCCTCGACTCCGGTTCTGGAACGGTCCCACGAGTCATCGAGCCAACGGTTGGCATTTCCGCTGTACGAGAGCCGGAGGAATGGGAGTCATGACCGTTGGGATACTCGTGCCCCTCAATTGTCTTATTAGGTTCAATTTTGACTTCGTCTGAGTCGGGCACTGTGCTTCAGGGTCATGGCGATGGCGACGACAACAGGCGATGGCAATGACGATGGTGATGACGATGAACCCACTGATGAAATGTGAACTGCACACGCAAAATATTCCTCAACCCGCGCCCTCTTCGCAATGGCGAAGATTTCCAGTCTCCGGTTGCATGGAAGGGAGTGCTAGCATGAGAGAGGAACACCAAGACAGAGCTCCAGAGCTGCCTACCTATCGTAGTAGACAGGACATATTTGAAGCCAATAATCGGAAAACCCTACACGGCATCAATTCTGAATTTCCCCGCCCAATGTGTCCGGTGCTCAAGGCAAGTCTTGAGGCGCAAAAACCATCAGTTGAAAACCTATACTACAACTGGGAGGGTTCGCATAGCGGGGTGTGCGATGTCGGCGAACGGTGCAAGGTACCTTCCCTACCTCGTTGCAGTTCTCAATGCTCATTTCGCACAAATCCTGATAGGCTCACTAGTGATTGACTGCGACCCTAGATACTGCTTGTTGTCTGTCTTTTTCAATTCTTGTGCAGCGGGTAGGATCTAGACACCATACTGGCTAGATACATAGACATTACCAACTCTGAGTTGAAGTGCAGAGTTGCAACTGTCACTGCCACTATGTGCGTATGGCCATGTAGTGGACGCATTCCTTCAAGGTCAAAGCGCGATTGGCGCTATGAGAACCTGGAGGACCTCAGCACGAAGGAGCTAAATCTCCATGCTGAGTCATCTGAGCTGATTACCTACCCGAGCTCCGAAGCGAAATATTGCGGCCTCAGGTATTAAGGCGTAGACGAATGCATGCAGATACCTTAGCTTCCAGGCACATCCGTTGGCAGACAGTCCCGCGGGAGTCCATCAGGAACCCAGTACCTTTTCGAAATAAGCTAAGGTCCGTTAGGGGACCCGTGTTAGGTACCTGGGTATCTATAAGGAACCTAACTACATACCTAGGTAGGTAGGTAGCTAAGCGCAGCACTAATACCTCAATCGCAGAGGAGCAAAAGGATCTTGCTTATTAGTGTATCTGTCTTATAACCCACTTTGTTCCGCCATGTCCAGCAAATACAATGGCAATCATCTTTATCGGCGTGCAGCTCGTCAACGCCTGTGGCAATCGGACAGTGCATCCCAGAGCTGCAGAAGGAACGCGAAACGCAGCCAGATTGGGATTGGGGAAGGCAGCCGGGACACGCGATCAGACACGCAAGCTCCGTCCTGGCTGCCTCAACACCCTGCGAGTGTGTGAGAGCTGTTCGGAGCTCTGGCAGTCCCGGGGTTCCAATAGTTGCACGCTGTCGGTCGTCCAGCCAGCAGATAAGTGGGTCCTTGGCAAGTAACCCCCGGCTTTGATAGGCACATTGACACCTAAGGTGCGAGCGCCTATCGGGTGCACGTCATGGTCCCTCGTTCCTTGCGGAGGCGAGTGGCAGGTGCCGTCACGGGGCACGCATGGTGGTATTAGGAGGTCCCTACTTAATAGATACCGACGCCGCCCCAGCTGCCTCATCCTCCCCCGTCAACACATCATCACCCACCTCCCCATCCGTCCCATCCCGCCATCCCCCCAGTATCACCAGTACGACGAAGACGCAGGACGTTGAACACACATCGTAAACAGGGTAATCGAGGTCGATAGCCACGATGAAGAGCACTCTCCTCACCGCGGCCGTGTTGCTGGGCGCGGCCCAGGCCGAAGTCCACAAGCTGAAGCTCAAGAAGGTTCCTATTGAGGAGCAACTGGTACGTTTGCCGTTCACATTGCATCTCCATCGCCGCGTATGCTGACTATCATTATCGCAGAACGCTGTCCCCATCGAGCACCAGGTCAGACAGCTGGGCCAGAAGTACATGGGCACTCGTCCCAATCACCATGCCGATGCCATGTTCAACCAGAAGCCCATTCAGACCGACGGCGAACACCCCGTGCCTGTTAGCAACTTCATGAATGCCCAGTGTATGTAAAGCCCCTAACCCTCCTCGCATCTTATCGAACTATGTGGCAATCTAACACTTCAACTCAGACTTCTCTGAGATTCAGATCGGAACCCCTCCCCAGACCTTCAAGGTTGTTCTGGATACTGGAAGCTCAAACTTGTGGGTGCCTTCCCAGCAGTGTGGCAGCATAGCCTGCTACTTGCACACCAAGTACGACTCGTCAGCCTCTTCTACCTACAAGTCCAACGGCTCTTCTTTCGAGATTCACTACGGATCTGGCAGCTTGACTGGCTTCGTCTCCCAGGATGACGTATCCATCGGCGACCTCAAGATCAAGAAGCAGGACTTCGCCGAGGCCACCAGTGAGCCTGGCCTGGCCTTTGCCTTCGGCCGTTTCGACGGCATTCTTGGTCTTGGCTATGATACTATTTCCGTCAACAAGATTGTTCCCCCCTTCTACAACCTTGTTAACCAGAAGGCCATCGACGAGCCCGTCTTTGCCTTCTACCTTGGCGACACCAACGAGGACGGTGATGAGAGCGAGGCCACGTTTGGTGGCCTTGATGAGTCCCACTACGAGGGTAAGGTCACCTACATTCCTCTCCGCCGCAAGGCTTACTGGGAGGTTGACCTCGATGCCATCTCCCTCGGCGACGAGACCGCTGACCTCGAGGGTCACGGTGCCATCCTCGACACTGGCACCTCCCTCAACGTTCTCCCCTCCGCTCTTGCTGAGCTTCTCAACAAGGAGATTGGTGCCAAGAAGGGCTACAACGGCCAGTACTCTGTTGAGTGCTCCAAGCGTGACGAGCTCCCCGACATCACCTTCACCCTTGCTGGTTACAACTTCAGCATCTCCGCCTACGACTATGTCCTGGAAGTCTCTGGAAGCTGCATCTCCACCTTCCAGGGCATGGACTTCCCCGAGCCGGTCGGCCCTCTCGTTATTCTGGGAGACGCCTTCCTCCGCCGGTGGTACTCTGTTTACCACCTCGGCAAGAACGCCGTTGGTCTGGCCAAGGCTAAGAAATAAATGCCTGCTCACAACCAAATTTCTTGAGAACACGTCGATTACTTGAAGGTTCATACTCGGGGCGGCTGTAATATATCTACTTAGGTAGTTAGTCTGGACACCGGTGCGAGAATACCACTAGTAGCATTTTATGCGATGAATGTCTATTTTTTAACGTGAGTTGTGTGAGATGTAAAGCTCGCGCCGCTCCTCGCCTTTCGCAATGTTAATGTTTCGAGGCTGAAGGATGTGAACCTGAGAGACGGAGCTGGTCAAATGGAGACCGGTTGGGGCTGCCGTGCTATCTGCATACTTTTGCAAGTTGTACACCTCGACCGCGTTAGTGGTCCGATTTCAGATCCCCATGGCTCTCACTATAGAGCTCTCTTCTTGGGTTATTTATTACCAAGGATTCATCAAAGCTAGGTTCTATGTGTTTGACGCAACTCCAGCTTCAAACCATTTCATGTGGTGTTCCCCGACCGACAAGATGTATCAGCGAGGCACCCGTGGGTACCAAGTGCCTCAGTCCCATGCCATCACGTGAAACGACCCACTTAATCTGACCAATGAAGTACGACCATCATCCAGCGCCATCTTAGTTTTCGAACAAGACAGGTAGGTGCACACTCTCCCAGTCGCAGCCTCCCAACAACACCCAGGGAATTGCTCCAAGAGCGCTTGCAAGGCAAAAAAAAATCATAAAACGGCGACTTTGATGGACCCTGGTCAGTTTCTAGGTCACGTTGCTTGCCTTTAAGCGTGTTCTTGGATGAAAAGGCTTCCTCGAACGCCTGGCTACGCGATACTTGACGAAAAAAAGGGTTTCCAGGTTTGGAGTTCCACCAAGACGACCGACCGACGAACCTCGCGCGTCGCGACAATCCGCCCTCCACTGGGCTGCTACCTGCCACCCCCGTCACTCCGCGCAACATCGACGGTCACGAACGCCAGCACGCACTTAGCTCCGCGATAATTCCGACCGATAACGAAATCATCATTCACAACCCACGACCACGCTTTTCACAATGGCGCAGTCGGATTCGGTCCAGGCAAACGGCATCCCTGGACCGGACCACGCTGAGTCCCCCCAACCGGTTGTCCCTGTCAAGAGGAAGCGCGACACCGACGACGATGGCCAGGAGATCAGCCCCGACGAACCTGAGAAGATGGAAGTCGACGGCAAATTGCCAAAGGAGGACCACAAGCCCCTCATCAAGGACTACTTCACTGTCCTGAGCAGGTATGATCGCCGCGTTTTCTGCGCATACCTCCTCTGTCATCGCCTCCAGAGCAGGCTTGTACTGACTGATGGCTCCCAGTTTCGATGCAAGTCCATCAATCCTGAAGCGTCGTCTTCCTGAGCCCGAGTCTGAGCAGCCCGATGCGAAACGTCAAAAGTCCGCCGAAAGCGCAGCTACCATCGCCGACAAGGTCACCCGCGACGCCTACTCGCATGTCGACGAACTCGCCGCAGATCTTGTTGAAGCTGTCAAGGATCAACTACGAGAACTCCAATCCGCCAATGCCGACGACGACGCCGTGAACAATAACATCGATGGCGTTGCTGTAGCACAAACCAAAAAGTTTAAGGACAAGGCTATGGACCTGCTCCGGCGTGAGATATCCTACCCGCGCAGCGCTGTCAATATCACCAACACCAAACCGGATGTGGAATCCGCCATGGACAATGCTGTCCTGACGGTTTTCGGCAATGCCCCTCATGGCAAGCAACTCTTTTCGAGTTTGCCGAAGAAGGCGTCGGGCAAGGAGGATTCCGCTGCAACAGCTTCTACCTTTGACCTACCACCTGGGGTGTCTACTTCTTATATCGTTCCGTCGCGACAAGTGGAGAGAGCGCCGACACTTGGTGACCTTTTCTCTTCTAGCCGGCCCCTTCCTCCGCTGCAACCGCCGAAACAACCGAAGCCAGCGGCCAAGGGGAACGTTCTCGGGTTTTACCATCCCGAGCCGGCGCAAAAGTCAAAGTACTTCAATGATTCGTACTCAAGCAAGAAGTTGGCGGTCGGTTACTACTTGGACTACACCAACGCAGCACCATCAGCCAAGACCAAGACGAAACAACGTGAACGGGCACAAAGCTTGGCTGGCCATAGGCCCTCGTCGACTGAAACGGAGGTCAACGAGATGGAATCGCTATTCCGTAGCGCCTTTTCCAGCTTCGCGCCCTGCAGGGATGACTCGGGGTCTGTCGTTCCGTCCAGCCATGCCGGCCGCATGTACTGGCAGCTCACTGGCCAGCGGAACTTCAACCGAATGATTGAGTCTGAATTGCAGGAAATCGACGATGAAAAGACTATCGAGAAGCCTGTCGAGAAAGAGGCTGTAACTGGACAGGTTGATGAAGAGTTCGTCAACGAGGCAATTGAGAAGTGGGATGAGTGGCTGGTGGATCCAGCCCTGCAAGACATGAACGATGTTCTAGCTAAGCCCAAGGGCAAGGATCTCGCTGACAAGGAGGTTGATGACCTCCTCGACGAGGTCACTGACATGATTGAGACACTGCTATCGTACCAGCGCATCCGCAACCTTACGCTACCATCATCCCAGAACCGCTACGCGGGCGACCCTGTCAATGGCGACCTGCTGTCTCATGGTGCTGTCTCGACACCGACGGAAGAGGAGACTGCGACATACGAGGCACTCAAAGCACAACTGAGTCTGATCATCAACACTCTGCCTCCTTACGCGGTGGCTAAGCTCAATGGTGATCAACTTGAACAGCTTCTCATCAGCACCAAGCTCGAGATTCGCACAGATCAATACAAGGGCGTAATGGAGGACGACGCCGCCTCACAAGCTCGTATGCGTCAGCAGCAAAGCGTGGCTACCGCCGCACCTACGAACCGACCTGCCCCGCACCGCACGCCTAGCGCATCCACGCCATACGGAACCCAATACGGCTCCGGTCAGTACGGCACCCCCACACGGACGCCATCGATTGCGCCTACAAATTATTACCGACCGGGTCAGCAACCGGCAATGCCCCCGCAGCAGGGCTCTGTTCCGCGGCCCGGCGGCGTGCCCCACCAGATGTCTCATACACCACAGCCACGCCCTGGCCAGCCAGGCAACTACCGGCCTACTAACGGATACACTAATTATGCACAACATGTCGGAAAGGCCCAGACGCCATACGGACACCAAGGGGTCCAATATGGATCTCAACAGAGGCCTCCGCAGTACCCGGGCTATCCAGGAACACCGCAGCACGGCACGCCCAACGCGCGTTTCCAGCAACCGTACCAGCAGTCTTTCCAGCAGCAGCCGACTACGCCGTCTCAGGGTTACGGTGGTTACTATGCCAATGGTTCCAACATGCAGCAACGAACCATGTCGCCCCAGATCCCAGCTGCTCAATATCAATCGTCGCCGACACCGCACCAGCAGCCACGGTACTATGGTTCGACTCCTCACCAAACCATGCCTGGCACTCCCCCAATCAATCGTCAGCAATACGCGAATGGTAGTCACCTCCCTCAGCAACCCTTAAACTCTCTAACACCTGGATACAATGCAGCCGTCGCGAGAGCAGATCAGCAACGCTTGCATGCAGAACAAGCAAGATACCGAGCCGCAGCGCAACAAACGAGTGCTGCCTTTGGGACCAAGATACAAGGGACGCAGGAGGGCGCGATGCCCGGCGATGACCCCAGCTCCCAAGGATCTCCCTACAATGCGAGCATGAGAGCCCGCATGGCTGCAGGCGGTACCCCGAAACCGCAGAGTCCTGTAGGGAATGCAGGGAAGGCAACCAATGGCACCCCACCAATTCCTCACAAAGTGACGCCAGTGCCCATACCGGTTATACCCCAACAGCAAAGGAAGCCAGCTTAGCAGTCTGTGAACCCTTTTCGGTTGCCAACGGTGTCACACCTTGTCTCGGGGCTGCAAGGAATCGCGGGAGGGGCTAGGGCGCCCAACAGCGTCAGGGCTTCGCCTGATGCCATACCTCCATCTTGAACTATGCAGCACCCACAGTAATCGATCTGTGCGGGTTTGATAGAAACCCATACACTCTCGCATTAGTCTTCCTGAACTCTCGTTCGCAAAATGTCGATTTCGATTTCGATTTCTCTCAACGGTGTCTGAATAGCAAGGGAGCGATGTCATTTCGGAGTTGGTCAGACAGGGCCCTTTTCTTCTAGTTGCGTCTCCAACCCGGGCAGGCGGATTGTTGTACCATTCGAGACGAGTTAGCCTTTTTCATGCTGGACGGAAAGGCAAAGTAGGATGCCGCTACAACCCAGATCCGGTTCGGGTCTATACAGTATGCCTGATGTTGGCGTTCTGGCTCTTGTGTTACTAGAATTTTTGGAGGAGCGTGATAGCTCATAGATGATCGCCCGAAGGGCGTATTTCTGGGTGTCGAGATGGTGGCTCAGCACAATTGATGTCGTTGCTGCATCATACGAACGGGGTTTTTTTTTTTCCTTTTCTTTTTCTCTTTGCTTTTCTGTTCCCATGCACAGAGGTTCTGCAACTTGCGTCAGTCAGGGGAGGGGATAGGTAGTCCATGGTGGTTGCTGTCTTTTTGCGCCTACCTCGACGAGGAAGAAAAGGGTTTGGCTCCAGTGTATAGAGTGGGCTGAGGTGAGCTAAGAGCTAAGCACTTTGCATCTTAATCAGAAACAACGAAATTTACGTCAAGGAGTTGTGCGCATCCGTTTGTGCCTGGTGCCAGTGCGAGTGAGCTGGTCAACCAACTCGATCCCCTGTGATCTGAGGGTTTGCTGACAACCCGTCATGTTTCGGTACCTTAAAGACCTCTACACACGGCAGCTTCCCTTCAGGGTCCAGACCCTCGCTTCGTTTGTCTCATCTGAATTCTGTCTTCCAATGACCCGGCGTTGGAGCTTAAACCCGGGATTCCGTAGAGTAGCTTCTTCCAGGCAGGGTTCGGCCGATTTTCGAGATAAATAGACCTCCCCTCCCCACCCACTTACTCCTTTTCAGGAATCAGAATTAGGGGAGTTGCGAAGTTCATTTCAACGACAGCACTCAGACCGAGAGACGCCGTAAGTTTCAACGTTGCGTTTAGTTCGCACCATGCAGGAGGGGGGGCAAAGGCTCTATTTGGACAACATGGCAAGCCCTTTGTATCGCTGGCTATGTAGGTGGTACTACTAGCACGTTCGTCCTCGTATGCCATGAGTCTCAATTGAAGGAGCCAGAGGCAACACCCAGACCACGTAAACGACCAAGTCATTAATCAAGGCGCCTACGCTGTGTACTTGCTCTATATTTGGATCTCAAAACTAGCCTCAGGCGCGTTGCGCCGGACAGTGTCAATCACCCCGGCAAAGATGATGGCACGGCAGCTTGATACTGCATCAGCGTTCCAGGTCTTCCAACCATTTGTTTCCTTGCTCCGGCCAGCTTCTTTGCCGCTTAATTTTCCTCCGCGAACAAGATAGGGTTTCGTGACCAAGCGAAGGTGTCCTGGCCCCCCGTCAGGAGTCGCGTAGACATCTAGCCCAAGGATAACTAACATCTTTGAGGGGAGACAGTGACGGCGCCGCAACGCATCGGGGAACCAGAAATATGATTCCAGCCGTGGCATTTGCGTTGAGGCCGGGTCCGTGCTAGGGGTTCGAGTTTCGGGCTTTTGAAGCGGCGTATAGAGATAATGAGGTGGGAAATATCAATGAAGTTGGAAGTGAGGAACACCGCCCTAAACGCCCAATACGGAACAGAGATGGCTTATCTCTTTAGCCATGGACTTACGAAGTCAAATCGTTCGTCTCGTGTGTTTTGCACGAATGGCACAATCAGAGTTTGTAACCTTGGCGGCAAGAGACACCGAGAAGTTCATGGGAACTATGGGCTTGCCTCGTTGGCTTGTAGGCAGCCTCCGAAGGAACGCAACATTTACGATGGGATTCTCCTGAGCCTTAGGCTCTCACCTACATAAGCAAAAAGCACCAGAGGGTTTCCCGAGTTGAGATTGGCTACGTAGCCCAGTAACTTCCACAAGCAACAAAATACCTTACTACCTGTTGCTTCCTTCCGTTATTTGATTCCATCCGAACCTTGAAGTTCTTCGTCCAACCTTCTCCCATCCTTTTTGGGTTCTTTCCTCTTAGGTACCTGGTTGCTGTGTATCTAGTGAATGTGATCTGAAGTTGCGAGGGACCTTGCAGGCCGTTCCTTCTGTGGATCAAATTCACTTCTTGATCTCCGACATTCACCCCTTGGTCTCCAACATTCACTTCTTGATCTCTGGCCTTTCCTAATCTTCTGAACCTCCTTCTACTCTATTACCCTTCAAATCTCCTCTTCTGGTCTCCTTTTCAACCGGAACAGTTGCCAGCCATCTGCAACCTGTATTCTCTTCAGTCAAGGCTTCAGCTACAATCTATTTTCCTCGACCCATCTAAGCTGGCTGCTGGACAGCTACCTTCTCCTTTCAATCTCATTTTTTCTCCGACCAATTTTCAGACGACCGACACAATGGGCTGCCTCAACTTGACCTTCCTTCTTGAGAGCGGCGCATTTGCCGACTTTCATCTCATTTGCACCGATTCGGATGGAGTCGAGAAGAAGTTTTCGGTGCATAAAAACATTGTCTTCACGCAGTGTGTGAAGATAAGAGACCTGGCCACCATCGCTCCCATTGTATGTTCATCCCACTCATTTGTCTCATCTCATGGCTGACACCAGGTAGAAAAAGGGTTCAGACGGCGTCGAATTTGCACACCTCGAATACGATCCAATCCCGTTCGGCGCCGTCCTCCACTTTCTCTACTCCGGTGAGTACGAGGCTGAGTCGCAGCCGGCGACGCGGAAGCGAGGCGAAAGCGAGCGAGACCTTCACGACATCCCTCAACCGCTCTTCTACTCCCTCCGGGCCCTCAAACTGGCCCACGAGCTTGAGATCTTCACCATGTACGAGGAGGCGGCTTCGGCGTTGCGTTTCTCAGCAGAGTATTACACACACCACGTCGATTTCCCCGGCATGGTCGATGAACTTTACAGCACGTGCTGCCAGCATGCCCAATTCGACATGTACCTCAATAGAATCGCTGGGGTGATTTCAGAGAACTCTCTTGTCGACAGACGCTTTCAAGACCGTTTGAAACCAACCATGCTAAAACACCCACGGCTTGCTCTCGACGTAATGGAAGCAGCCTTCGAAGCTCTCGCCGAGACTAGGCGAGAACTTGTGCGGGCACAAGAAGAGATCTCAGACATGCGGGCCCAGGGCTTCGTCCGGGATGAGTTCTGGGCCCAGGCGGAGAGGGATCGTCAGCGGGACAGAGAAATGAAGCAAACAACAGCGGACAGGTTCGAATACCGAGTGGTGCGTGGCAGCCTCAAGAGAAGCCCATCCTCTTAGGAAAAGAAAGGAACAGGATGGCATAATGATAGGATAAAGAAGTGTAGCTCTGTTGCATGAATACCAGGCACACTGCAATTAATGTCCTAAGTGACGAGATGGAAAAGGGCCAGGCTTGGTAACACCCATCTATAGAACTTATAGGCTGTATTGAGGTTTTCCAGTAAGTAAGCCGTGTTTTTCTCAACAAAGAAAACAAAGGTTTCGTGTGTTTCATTAATTGTTGTTTATACACCTTTGGATTTGAACATCGCAATTCTTCCAGTCCCACGACCTACGGCTCCAGTTCCGAAGAAGCGAAGGAAGGAGGATCAGTTGTCGGAACTGGAGAAGCGAAACAGGAACACCGTGAGCTGAACTGCCCCACCAGCCACTTATTGCGGGCAGGGCGAAGGGTTGAGTCGGCCGTGATCCAGCGAGAGACGGCTGAAGAATCCACGTTTGCCGGCACAGCAGGACAGTTCATCACTCTTCAGTGATAAGGAGTATGAAGGGGTTTGATGATAGCTCAGAACTTTGGAGGCATTCAGGGCACATGCGCAGCGTTGGTTGCTCGGAAAAAGTAAAGTTGTAGGGACAGGCAGTCTGGTCTGGAGTGGCTTAGGTTCGTTCCATCAAGAACTTGAACATATCGCTGGGTTTGTCGTTCCTAATTAATGACCGCATACTGCTTGCTGTTTTCAGCTCGTCGTCGCCCACGGGACTATTGTACATAAGTGAACTTGCTTTTGTGCGCTACTGGGAATTGGTCCTGGTTTATAACGACCCTCTTTATGCCTTTTGTTTATACACGGTGCCAAGACCTCCTCAACCCTGATACCATATCATGGCCTTATCCTACAAACAACCCCCCCCCCCCAGCTCTTAGTCAACATCTTTATCTTTTCCGAGCTCCCGACAGCCGATGCTTTTGCTTCGAGACGCTGAGAACTTGACCACTTCGTGCAAGTATCGGTGGTTGCCCCAGTTATCACCCTGTACGTACTCTTCTACCTCTTGGTCGGTCGGCCAGCGCACAGGCCCTCCCTGCTCTCTATTCGTTTCAATCTCCTCGCGCAAAGACGCCACTGCCCTTTTGTCAAGCAAGGGCTCCGCAAACGCCCGGAAGACGATGACTGCCTTAGACAGACGCCCGACTTTTCCAGGAGTCAAATTAGCGGCAGCGACGGGAGCCCAGTCCCGCACAGTCCAGCACAGAAGCAGCACCGCCTCCTCCAGATCACCGACAGCTACGAGTGTACGCATGTAATTATATATATGCATTTCCGTCACGCGCCAGTTGGCGAAAGGAGGGTGTGCTGAGGCCTTGGTCGACAGAACTCTCCAGGCAGCTTTCAATCTCTCCAATGCTTTTCGGACGACCTCGTAGGGTTTCTGAAGATTTTTCCGCTCTTGCTGGGCATCGGAAACCGGCGTGAGTATTTGTCGCCGAGAACCATCAACGTTATCGGCCGCATCTGGTCTCCGGAAGACGTTGGGCCCGTTTGGCAACGCCAGCTCTGTGTTCTGCGCTCGATAGAGTGACATGAACTCCTCGTCCCCAGGAAGTATCGCCGAAGTGGAAAGTAACATGGAAAGGCTTGAGTAAACCACCTTACGTACTGCTTGGGCAAATGAATCGAGCATGTCTAAGGTGAGCGCGTGACGTCTCTCGGCCTCCTCCAAGACTCTGAGGGCCATCTTCAAAACCTTAATGTTGTTAGCTTGTGGGTCATCCTTGCTAATCATGATGTTCGGCCTGCCCAGAGCACGCATGATTAACTCCAACGGTGGCCGATCAGAAGCAAGGGCAAGATTCTGTCCGGTTTGCGCGAGCCAATAAGCGTGATGGATGGGGTAGAATTTGTATTTGTGGACATAGTCAGGTGTGTTTGCCGTTCGATTGGGCTGTATACGGCAAAGGAAGTCGACAGTTGCATGGAGAATTTCGAAATGTAAGTTGATGGGTCGAAAGTGCCTGGTCGGTACAGTTTTCACAGGCCTCCGGCATCCTTTCAAGCGCTTCCTGAGAGAGGCCTTGAGTGCTTTGTGTACGCTGCTGTGGTTGATATACTTCAGAGCAGTCCCGACGTCAGGAGCCCGTCTAAGCAACCAAGCCAAGGGCCCTTCGCCGATGGCCACACCAGCGTTGGCCATCTGCTTTATCAACTGTGGGATGCTGGGCGGACTGATTCGCGCTTTCTCAAAGTCGCTCAAGTTTCTGTCATCAAAAGGGAAGACTTCTCTCCCATCCCCGGGAAGATTGCGGTGGCGAGGATCGGCTTGTCGTGCTGCAAGCTTCAATATCAACTCCCAGTACACTTCAAACGTTGGCCTCATTCCGGATTCAGGAGGATTTTTGAATGCTGCCCAGGCTTCTTGGGCGTTTCGAGTTGCCCGAACCAACGCCGCCCACACTCGTTGCTCCGCATGCAGATGGCGCGGGAAATTAGCCCTCGTTTGAATTGTTGGCGATCCGTCGGGAGCCATGCCTCCTAACACGTCTGTGGCCACATCGATTTCCTTCTTGCTGTAACCGCTCTCTTGCATCATGAAGCCAGCTTTGACAACTCTGCTTAAATACTCTTGCGTGTCCGCCATTTCTTCCATGCCGTCTCGCAATATTCGATAAGGGGGCCATGAGCTGGAAAGAGCGCCAGCCGTGTCCCGTTCTGAAGCTGTCTTCGGTAACGCAAGCAGAACTTGCCTGATTGCCCGATAACTTTCTTGCTCGATGATGAGGGGACGCTCCAAGCTGGACGACAGCGAGAGCAGAATAGTAACTGCTCTCCAATTTTGCGAGGCTTGGTTGTATGGCGAGCTTTCTGCTGGAAGTGAAACAGCTTGTAGGACACCGTTAAACACCTCACATTGAAACTTATATGCCTTGCCTGGATGCCGACAGCGTTGTGGTATACTCTTGATGTATGCCACGGACAGGTCTGCGATCTCTGGTAAGGCAGCGGGCCGAAGTCTGCTTGCATGGAAGCAGATGGTCTTAGCCAGCCCGAGGAAATTCACAGGGGCCATTACGAAGTACCGGCCGAAAGTCTTCGCAACATCACGCCCTGTTTGTTGACTCGAAAACCATTCTCTGTAGTATTTCAGGAGTTTTTCAAAAGAATCAGGACTCAAGCGTGCGTTTTTGCGAAGAAGATGGCTCAGCACAAATAGTGGTTTATGGCACGGTTTGCTCATAAACCTGGCCACTCTCTTGTCCGGGTCTTGCGGAACAAGAGTCCAAGCCCAATAGGATATGTCACCCACTGTGACACCTCTTCTCGCCAAGTAGTGCAGCTTGGCCTGCCATTCCACATTGCTGCATAGCAGGTCTCCAATTCTTGGATCCAATTGTGGTACCTCGCGAAGGATCCTTTGCGCTGTGACGACGATGAGCTGGGTGCTCTTGTCCAGCGCAAGAATCCTTAGTCTGGCAAGCTTGAACACGGAGGAGAGAGCGGTATCGGAAAACTCGGAGGAGAGAGCGGTATCGTGATCGCGATAGAGGTCCAAAGCGTCGACAAGGAGTCTGTGGGGGGATTTGACAAGGAGTCTCTTGCGGTACTTAAAAGGGAGTCTCCTGCGGTATTTGACAAAGAGTCTCCTGCGGTATTTGACAAGGAGTCTCTTGCGGTACTTAAAAGGAAGTCTCCTGCGGTATTTGAAAAAGAGTCTCGTGCGGTGTTTGACAAGGAGTCTCTTGCGGTATTTGTCAAGGAGTCTCTTGCGGTATTTGATAAGGCGCTTGTTCGAGTGTGATTTCGGTTCGGCACCGGGGAGCTTCGACGATTTGGATTGCTGATACGATGCCGAGTTGGAACTGGCCACTCCAGGTGTTTGCCAGGTTGATAGATTTTGAGCAAGGACTACAGCCTGACGAGACAGATATTCATGGCGCTGCGAGAACTAGTCGAGGGGAGGCCCTTATTAGAGCTGAGGATGGAGAGCTTCTGAATCGGATAATATACTTACTACACGCCAGTTAGGAGCAAACACCCACCGGCTCCTGGTCAGAACAGAAGTGTGTGATCTAGAAATGAGCGGCAGCCGCATTGCTCCATCTTCGCTAGCAAAACCTCAGATGCCCAGGATTGAGAATGTTTTGTGTGCAGTTGAGGGAACTTGACGATCGTTCAATAAAAAAAAGCGGCTCGGTATGTCGCGAACGCGGGAAACTTTCCGCCGTATCACATCACGTGCGATAAGGGAGCTCCAGCTGGCCGATAAGAAAGAAGGCCGTTCGGCAAGCAACGGCTGCACTGTTGCAGTTGCGAAACAAATTTATGTTCTACCTGTAGTCATAGACCCTTTCTTTTATTTTTTTTTCCTTCGATCAATGTAGCTATTCGATGGCACTCGAAGTTTCACAATATGCGCCCCTGTCAGCTCAAGATAGCGTCGTCACTCAGTCGTGGCCTGCACACTGCCCGATTTACTCCTCGTCCACAGCGGTATTTACACATCACGACCCCCGCAAGTCTGCCTCGCAAGCGCACTTTCTTCACCTCCAACGTCTACCTTACCCAGAACACCGGCGAACCCTCGGCGACGCATTCGAAGCACGAAAACGATGAATCCATCTTGTCTGCGGTCTCCAAGCGCAAAGCCGCCCGTTCCGCAGGCGCAAAGAACTCGCTTCGCCGAGTAGCGATCATAGCTCAACGACCTGCACAGCGAGGCACAGAAGTCGCACCGGCAGAGTCGGCGGATGCGCATGCCTCAACGCTGATCAGTGCTGTATGCGTCGCCGAGGCTTTCGACATGGGTGCAGTATTGGATATCCTTCGGGCGCACGGATTCGACATTGATCCGGATCAGAGTGGCTTCGAAGCGAGCGAGGTGGTCCACGCCCGAGCCGTCAATGGCGGAGACATCTTTGTGTTTCCCTCCGGGACAATTGTCACGTGGGCTTTGCCTCCTGACGTCGTCACGAAGCAGCTGTTGAGTGCTGCCGAAACGCCGTTGAAGCCAGCCCTCCGGGAAGTTGAGGACCTAGAGTACGTTTCTGACCCGAACAGGGAGACGAGCGGCATGAAGGGCGATGTTGTGGTGTTGGGGACGAAGCTCGAGCAACGAGACGGCGACAGACTCGACACGACTCTCGCCAAGATTGCGTTCTCCTCCGGATTGGCCAGGAGCACAAAACTTGCAGTGCTGGAAAGCGCACTGACGGCATATTTTGAGAGCACCAGGAAGATCCCTTCAGTTTTGTCGAAAGGCTCGGGCCTGCCACTGAGCAGAAAGTTCATCTTGCAGAAGACAGGCGAGCTTTTGAGCCTTCGCGCAAGGCTTAACCACTACTCGGAGCTCACAGACTCCCTTCCGGACATCTTCTGGGATAGCCGATCTGAACTGGGCCTGGAAGGGTACTACGAACAGGTCGGGCGGGCATTGGACGTCAATGTCCGAATCCGAACGTTGAATCAGAAAATGGACTACGCGCAAGAGATTGCCAGCGTGTTACGAGAGATGTCGAGTGAGCAGCACAGCACAAGGCTAGAGTGGATCATCATCATTCTCATTGCCGTCGAGGTTGTCTTCGAGGTGAGGAGGATTGTGCTAGAGTATAAGGAAGAAGGTGAATCCGAGGAGTCGGAAGCAAAACATGAAGATGTATGTGATAAGAAGGCACAGGTGTGAAGCTAGGCAAGACCGACCCATGGTATTGCTGCAATTATTGATACAAGATACCCAACTCAGTGAAATTCAAAACTTCTACAACACACACACCCATACACACACTCTGCTATAAACCCACTGCGCTCTTTTTTTCAGTAACATGTTTCTTACTCATAGACTGTGACTCAACCTCAGTGATCGTGTGAATCACACATCATTACCTACCTATCCTGCGTCATACCTTAGGTTTAACATCTCTTCATGGCTGAAGCCTTTCGGGTGCAAAGGACCCTTGACGTTCGGGCACGCTAGAGACCAATTGGTCAATGCTGCTGCAGGAACGGCCGCTACATACCCACCGTTGGCGCGCCTTCCGGGGGATTCATTGGTCAATCAAGGTGGATCGAACATTGGTTCCTTCCTGACAGACAGTCTGTTTTGTTTTGTTCACCTCTGAGTAACTCATCCTTACTTAGCAAGGCCTTCCTCTACCTTTTTCTATTCCCAGCCCACTCCTCTTACCAATACAAAAAAAGCTAAAGCGCGTTGGACCCCACAGTAAGCTACATAACACGCCTTCTACATAATAATATCACTAACACACAACCACAACAGCGCACCACTCACTCACTCACTCTCCGGTCTTTTTGGACATCAGTCTCTAGTTGACTTTTCTTCAATAACTCATAGCAGAACCACTGCTCGGTCTCCAGGAGTAGGAGCCACCGCAATTATCTTTGTTTAGTCTTGCCATTAAGCAAAATCCTATGCAGTTTGCGGTGCATACGCACATAGCCCATCTGTGCGTAAGTGCCTACCTCATCTCACCTCATCTCAGTCACTTACACACTCGATAGGTTGATGCTTATGAGAGGAAGCAGTGCTACACAACCTCACCGTCCAAAAGTCTGATGATACGCAGCAAGTAGTACGTTTGTTCCTTCCTCCTTTCCGAAATTTCTGGAAACAGATCACTGATTCTTATTCCTTAGGCGGCGGCATGGACAATCCTAACGACTGCTTTCCCTTCGACTGGGAGGACCCTGAATTCTTGCTGGAGCCAGACGACCACGAGGGCCTTAAGAACGACCTCTACGGGGACTTGCAGTCTGCTGATAGCTTATCCGATTACGAGGAGCGCGTTACTCACCAGGCGCTAGAGGCGCCAACTGCCCTGGTTACTAGCGATTTATGCGCATGCATAGCACCTGAGCCTCAAGATGACGCTCAACAAAAAGCACCTATTCACGAGCAAACAGCTTGGGATGGGGAGGGCTTACAAGTAGGAACTATACTTCCTACTGTGCCTATCACCTTGATTAATCAAGTCTCCGTGGACATACCCTCAAGCACCCTTATTATACCCCGATCCCTTTACCAAGGTGAGACTGATGAAGAGCTCTACGTCAAGCCGGCAAGAGAGTGGACAGCTGTTCAGTCACTACTGGAAGAGTACCGTCGAGTTCACAGCAGCAACAGTGGCGACATCGAATTTGACTTGGACCAATTTGCTGTCTACATTGACGCCACTGTACCAGGGGGGAAGTGTCATGAGCAACGACCGTATCCATGCGAGATGCGGCCGCTCCAGCATCTTGGAACGCAGTTCCGCTGCAATAGAATGTATGTGGACGGCATACTGTCAGTAGGGAACAAGCAATTTTCCATCAGAGGCATACCTTTCGAAGAACTCCCAATCGGCAACTATGGCTCTTCAGAACCGACTATAGGATCTGAACTATGGATACGCTCATGCTTGAGCGCTGCAATTGCCAAAAGACAAAACACCAACATCTACTACAGACTCAAAAACCCATCAACTGAGTATCAACGGTATCACACTGGATTCGTATGGGTTGCAGACTTAGCAAAGCATGTCGTCGATTATCTTTCCACAGCTCAGGACAAGAAACAACAAGTTATCTTCCGAGACTTTCGATCTGCCTTCTACGCATGGGCAGACAAAAAGCATGGCAACTCAGAATCTTTTTGTCAATGGCAAAGGCAATATCAGAGGACTGATTTCTGTGGCGCAGTTGCTGCAAACCTAGAATTCATCTGGAAGGAGGCTTCTGGAGTTCTTGGACACAAGGTCAGATCAATATACCTACGGAAGCTCTGGAAGGAGATACGCGAGTTCACTGCGTACTCAGACTGCAGTGACAAAACACCCTCTACACCAGCGACTACTACTCCGTTAGCCTCTCCCTCGCCAACTCCGAGCATGCGACAGTCTTTGCATATCCCAAAGACAGTGGTTACGCCATATATTAACCAGTTATTCGATCACCTACCGTGCGGTCTAATAATGGAAGCGCTGGACCTAAGTCCGAAAACCAAAAGGTTGCGCCGAGACGTAACTAAGGCTCTTCGACTTGAGTCCGCACTGGACATTCATACCGGTACATCGGCCAAGAATACAAATGAAAGAAGCCTCAAAACATCTGTCAATGTCGGCGACGTCATCTCTACAGCTCGAGACGAAGGCGGCAACTGGGAAAGAGAAATCCCTGCCGGCTTTAATGATGTTGACCGGTGGTTCGGACTTGTACAGAAAGTCCACAGGCACAACAATGACAAGAAAAGCTTCGACATCATATGGATGTACCGTCCTGTGGACACGATCTGCGGGAACATGAAGTACCCGTGGAGCAATGAGTTGTTCCTCTCAGACCATTGCAGTTGCAACAACCCAGCTGATAAGAAGATCAAAGAAGAGGAGGTGCTAGCTGCACACAAGATTGACTGGGGCGGTTCGTCTGCCGCTAGCGCAGAGTTCTTCTGCAGGCAGACTTATCTTCATGAAGACCGACGATTCATTACCTTCCAAAAAGGTCACCTCTTCTGCATGCATCATAGCCAATCCAGTGAGCAGGAATTCCCGTACAAGATTGGGGACACGCTTCTTGTCTGTCTGAAGAGCTCAGACAGCGTTGTTGAACCATGCGAATTGGTGGAACTTTGCAACTCAAAACTCGCTCTTTTCCGCCTTCTGCGGCGAAGACAAACGATTCAAAGCAACAGCACTAATGAAAAGGTACCGCCGAACGAGCTTGTCTATAGCGACGAGTTACTGCCAATCGGAGTCAAAAATATACAGAGCAGATGCACTGTAAGGTTCTTCCGGCTAGGAGAACCCATACCTGTCCCTTACGACCGAAAAGGGGTCGGTAATACATTTTTCATCAGATATCGATGGCAATCTGGGCAAATGATCCCTTTGGAAGACGGCTTCTTATCGTTGAGACAAGGTTTTGATCCGGCGAAACCCTTCCCGAAGCTTCGTGGATTCGACCTCTTCTGTGGAGGCGGTAACTTCGGCCGCGGCCTTGAAGAAGGTGGCGTAATCGAAATGAATTGGGCGAACGACCTCAACAAGAAAGCGATACACACATATATGGCAAACACAGAAAATACCGTTTATCCTTTTGCTGGGTCAATTGACGACCTGCAGAGATTGGCGCTACAGGGCAAGTTCAGCAAAAAAGTGCCGCCTATCGGTTCAGTCGACTTTGTGTCAGGGGGCAGCCCTTGCCCTGGATTCTCCCGTCTTACAAATGACAAAGCCACCCCTGAGCAGCGCAAGAACCAGTCTCTTGTGGCCGCTTTTGCGTCCTTTATTGACGTTTATCGACCGAAGTTTGGGTTGCTTGAAAATGTCATGGACATTGTGCAGACCAAGACGAAGCGCAACGAGGACGTATTGAGCCAGCTGATCTGTGCTATCGTCGGCCTTGGTTATCAAGCTCACTTTTTTATCATGGATTCCTGGGCATACGGTTCGCCTCAGAGTCGTAGTCGTGTCTTCTTGTGCTTTGCTGCGCCAGGCCTCAAGCTCCCTGAAGTGCCAGTGCAGTCACATTCGCACTATGAATCTGGCAAACGTCGCAAGACGCTAGGTTGGTTGCCAAATGGCGAGTCAATGGTGGAGCGCCTCGAAATCCCGACGCCATTCAAGTTCGTAAGCATAGCCGAGGCCACAGCGGACCTGCCAGACATAATGGACGGCAAGGCGGACTGCTGCGTGAACTTCCCCGACCACCGGATGGCATACAGCATCACAAGACCAGCCAGGGCACAACTCAGCGTGATACCGATGCACCCTTGGGGCATGAACTTCCGAACAACGTGGGACAATGGCAAGGGCACGATGACGACGGCTGAGAGGGGATTGTTTCCTAGCAAAGGTGAGAGAGTCTTGTCTCCAACCTCTCGGGCTTGGGGCCGCGCATTCCCGCACAGCGTTATGCAGACAGTCACCACGACGGCATCGCCAACGGATGCACGCATCGGTCGCATCATGCATTGGAGCCAGAATCGTGTTTTGAGCGTCATGGAAGTCCGGCGTGCCCAGGGTTTCCTCGACCACGAGGTGATCTTAGGGACGCCAAAAGAGCAGTGGAAGGTGGTCGGGAACAGTGTGTCTCGGGAGGTGTCGCTGGCTCTGGGTCTCTCGTTCCGAGAGGCGTGGCTTGGGTCCTTGATCGATGGCGAGGAAGTCCAGCCTACGGTTAACGTACCTCCTCAACAGTTGTTACAGGCACAGGCGCAGGCAGAGGCGGCACCCGGCAACTCCGACAGCGGCAAGAACTTGGCGGAGACAGACACTCTATCAATAGGGTCTCGTGGAGAGACCCCCGTCTTGGTATCGCCGCGATCTCAGAAGCGCAAACTAGGGAGCTCCTTTGTTATTGAGTTGGTTGTTTCGAAGATGCTAAAGAAACAGCGAGGGCAGGCGACGCCGGAGAGAAGCGAAGGATCGGAGGATGATGAATCTGCGGAGGTTACTTCAGCATTAACATCGTCATCGTCGGGCTCGAGCTGCGAGATCATTGAGCTGGATTAGGAGCGGGGGGGGGAAACCCTTCCGGGAAGGGTCGGACCTATACGTAAGAGAGCCAGCGGCCAAGCGTTCATGGGATTATAGACAACTCGCACACATGGTGATGATAACACAAGAGGTATCTAGGAGGCTATAGACGACCTGCATAGCGGAGCCTGGATTGCTTGCTGTGGCGAGACAGGATAGTCAGTCCACAGAACAAACAATACCATTGATTGAGGATTGTGCTCTGCGCATCTGGGTGATTTTCTTCTTCTTCGTGCGTTACTTGCTTGGCCTGGCCTGACTTTTGGCGGCGAGTCTCATGACGCACGCGAAAGGGGGACGAGGCATTGCGATCAGTGTCTGACTGATTATATATGTGTAGTAGAAGAACTGTGCTAATTACCACGTAAATACAACGCTGGTTTTCCAAAAGCCCAAGATTATGTATGTATGTGTTGGAAGACGGCGACACATGTAAACCCTTCTTTCCCGCCTTCACCACTTATTAAATCCTTCAAGTCTACATTGTGGTCTCCTTCTTATCAAGAACCTGGTCCTCAACCCTTGGTCACGGTGACCGTGACTGTCTCGCGCTCCTTTTGCGTGACCGTCACGAAAACTGTCACGGTGGGCGTGCCCTGCGGGACGTCGAAGCTGAACGGCAGACGCGCCGTCGGTACGAGGCCACCGACGAGGCCCGTTGGAAGCCCGCTGGTCTCGTCGGGGATGGGGTTGACAATCAGGGTGTCTGTAAAGGTCCCTGTTGGGCTGGCTGGGGTTGTTTTCGACTGGGTGGCTTGTCGTGTCGTCTCTGTGGTTGTAGATACTGGCGACGACTCGGCCGTTGTGGTGCGTGTGCGTCGGCGGGATGTGGATGTTGTAGGTGGGTCGTCTTCTTCCGTCGTTGTGGATGAGGGTGCAGGTGCAGGCTTCATGGTCTTAGTGACAACGACGGTGGTGGTGAAGCCCGGGGCTTGGACTGCAGAGCTCGTCTGTGGACTTGCGGCAGGCGGAATGATGGAGACTGTGTACGTTGCGATGACTGTGGGCGTAATGGTCGTAGTTGTTTCTGATGCGACCTCGGACGCGCTCGTCGAGGAGCCTGGAGCAGGGGCAGATACCGGCGTGCCTAGGATGCCACTCGCCACCTTGGGGTCATAACACCCAACAACAACGCCCTCGGTGGTGCTCATCGGCAGCGCGAAGCAGGATGTCCCTGTCCCGCAGTTCTGAATAGCGAAAGCGCCGCTAGAGCCGCATATGCCAACATTGCCCTTGACGCAAGCGATCTGGCCGGCAGCACAGGCGGACTGCTCGGTAAGGGAGGCGAAGAGGACGTTGAAGGCCTTTGCGGAGGCAAGATTGCTAGCGGCGATCTCGGGAGAAACGGTGGCCGAAGCGGCCGGGGTGGAAGTCTGGATGGTGGGGACTTGGTTGTTGGGCGTGCCGGTGACCCGGAGTGTGGGTGAGGGCGTTGATAGAGGGACGGTCGAGGGGGGTGTCAATGGAACCGAGGGTGTCTCGGGAGGGCCCTGGACTGGGGATGCCGTGGTCGGCGCAGTGGCGATAGTGGTCGATGAGGCGGAAGGGGAAGATGCCTCGACGTTGGCGGTGCTGGATAGGACAGAGGCAAGAGTAGAGGATACTCCAGACCGATCCACGACGGTTGTTGTAGCTGCTTGAGTTCCACCCGGGACAGGAAAAGCGAAAGATATGGACGACTGCAGCGGCGCTGTCGACGTAGAAGCGGAAGAAGCACCTTCAGATGGCGATAGAGGTGCGGGTGCAGAGGTGGTGTTGCCAGGATACAAAGAGGATCCGTTCTGTAGACCGGATGTGAGTTGTGGCGGCAAGGAGATAGTACTCGATATGAGAGGTGGCAAAGCCGGCCCAGACTCTGTTGCCGGTATTGAGTGGGATTCTGGGGTCGACTGAGCTGGTGTCGTTGAAGGGGGTCGGCCTTCTGGTGTGGTTGATGGCTGTGATGTGACTGGGGAGCTGGCAGTCGTGCCGTCGAGGGTCACAAATATTGGGGTCGGAGTGACTCCATCCTGTTCCTCTTGTACCGTCACAGAGAAGGCGGAGGTAGTGGTGTCTCTATTTTCATGTCAGCATGGCCTGAGTGAGCGGGCATGGAAAGAGGTGGGAGACGTAGACGTACGCTGGATCCGAGGCGACGCTCGATATTACAGCAAGACTGCTGCTGGTGGTGAATGCACTGGAAGTGGTATTCCAGTCCTTCCTGAGGCTTTGATGGGTGTTAGTGATGCACGGCAAAGGCATGGTGGAGTTTACTGACAATCTCTCAACACGTCTTACTGGACCGGCCTGCGTGGTCTGAGTCATCAGGAGGAGGAGGAGGAGGGTGTCTGCTACGCGAATAGAGGAAGGCATCGTGATGTGTGGCGCTAGAGAATGATGTCGGCGGAGATTAGTGACTTGAAGTCGGCTTCTTGGCGCGACGAAGATGGATATTATGAGTATAGTGGCAGTCTAGAAGACGCGCTGTTCTCGAACCAACAAAAGAAAAGAGGGTTATGGTCTCGCCCAGAAACAAGCAAGGAAAACGATCAGCAGAGGACGAACAATGAACAGAGAGGGGAAAGTGAAGAACACAAGCAACGAAGAGGTGGAGAATAAAGCAGAAAGGCAAAACAAGAGGAAAGAGAAAGAAACAGAGAACGGAAGGAGGGGAAACGAGAGATCAAGGTCGATATGACTAGACACGCACAAGGGAAGGGACAGAGTTGGTGGATGACGGGGTTTTCGACGCTTTCCACATGCAAAGCATACGAGGATGCAGGCCCCATCTTGTATGACTGGGCCTGGAGATCAGGCAAGAAAAACAGCAAGGCAGAGGTCTAGAACTCGTAGGCATGTCAAGGCCCATTCGAGCAGCCGGGCTGTGAAGGCATTCGAAACACTTGGTTCGCGAGTGGGCAAGGATGGATGGAGCAGTTTAGATGAGGGCCCGACAGCTTGGGAACACGGTCATCCAATGCCTCTGCATCTCTCTCCGACACGGAAGCCAGATATAGGCCATAGCCAAGAGACTGACTGGGCCGGAGGTGAGAGACCGTAGTAGTGACATCGGGTGGCAGCAGGCGGCGGGAGAGATTTGGTTAAGCGCCTCGCAAGGTGTCTGTCTGTCTGTCTATACGAGACCTCTCTGTGGAAAAACACGGCTGACCTGGATCGAACCGGGCGAAAATGGGACAATTTCTTTTTCGTGTTTGTCGTATTGTTCAGTGTTTCTGGACATGTCGATTGCAGACGCGCGGGAAGCTACTATTGGCAGACAGGGACACACCCCATGTCCCGTTCCCGTGCGATGCCCGCCAATCAATCCCACAGCGCTTACACTACAGTACCGGTACCTGGGGCAAGTGGGCCTAACAGTTCGCTGGCAGGACACCCACCAGGGGACCACACCCGCCGTAAGTAGTCGGTCAGTCAAGTCGGTCAGTAACCTGTGCTTTTTCCTTCTTTACACCGCGCGTCTCGTCTCGTGGATTTCTCAGAATTCATTGATAAAGCCGCCGTTCCTTTCTTCTGGTTTCTGAACTGCTGAAACTCTGATGATTCCAAAGCTTTCATCCCTTCTTCTCCACGCCACTCTGCAGGCCATCATGATACAGTGTCGAGGACGCCACAGGCTTGTTCCTACAAAGCACCGTGTTTTGGCCGAGAGTCACGTCACGACAATTGGCTTGATGTCGATTGCATCAGCCAGGTGTTGTCTGTCTTTTTGGCCTTTCACCCACGCCACCAGTTCTCTGACCGAGAATAGGTACAGAAAGAGCCAAAGGATACAGACCAAGTGATAATCCACTCAATCAAAGCTCGCGACCGCTGGTTTACATAAACCGCGTCAGCGCGTCGTTGTTGAAGAGGCCTGCCAGTGTTGCACGTCTGGTCGACTTACGCTCCACCAGCCTCTAGTCGCATCATCTCCTGGACAGAACCCTATGAACACTGCAGCCCGTGGGGTGACAAGCACTGATGCTGCAATTCCTTCCTGCCCGTATGCAAGCTCGCTTCTCGTGTGTTCGAATGTATCAGACTACCTATCTATCATTACCCACACACGTGGGTGCACTGGCCGTGTCACCTTCCCCTCTCGCCCCATGAGCCAAGGTACAGACGGGGATTCGACGACGTTGAAATATGCTTCCCTGTCGTCACTTCGGGGAGCACGTTGCTCATCCCGTGGCATCCATTGGGGCGAATGGGGAACAATCGTCCCTTGGCAAGCCACACCCCGGGTTGCGAAGCGGCTTGGCTCTCAGGTACACTGCTAAACAACTGCACCTGGTGACGCACCGGTTCGTCGTGCTCTCTTCGAGGTCCAAATGAGCCTTTTATCCTTGTAGGCTGGTTCTAATGCTACCGACGGTGCGGAAGCCCTTATCGTGCTAGGAACGACGTAACGCGAATCCTCACATTAAACCTCAGAGACGTCGCCTTGTCATATCAGATCAACTTTCGCGGCGGTCAGTGGTTGTTACCACGAAGGCTTTCTCCAACCATTGCACAAATGCTCTCGGCTCCTCTTTCTGACGCCGTCCTCCTGACGACCGACCTCACCATGTCATGAATCATGATGCGCCCCCCCCCCCTCAATCAAAAGACGTACACGTAGGGCTCAGAGCCGTCCTTAGGCTTGTTTTTGCCCTGGGCTACGCGCCGGTTGTGCACGAAATATACAGATTCTTGAAAAAGAGCAGCCGCCATGCCCATCGACACCATTATTATCATGGTGAGGAGACCTTTATCGTAGCTTTCGTTTCTGTTAGCCTCATGTGTTTTTCCGGCGATTAACCCTGAAGAGAACACCGAAAGGGGGGGTGCACTTACAACGGCAGGTCGTTGCCCCTGAAATACTGCGAGCCGACCATCAAGCCACTGATGGCGGACATTACCCACATGCTTAACACACCCGTCAATATTGTCCAGTCTTCTCACGTCGTATAATGGCAATAACTCACGCGATTCCAATACTTCGCTCTCCAGGGTCACGGCAGTTGACCTGCAGCCAGGTGTTGTGTGCTGGATGGTAGCAGACGGCAAAGGCGTTGATCATTGTCCACAGACCCCATCTCGACCACTTTCCTACGTGCGGATGGAGGCTGCGAGCCACCACCAAGATGGTCAGGTAGCAGATATGTCCCACTATGACTGTCGCTCCCCTCTTGTTTGTCCGGTCGCTCAGCGTAGCGAACGCGAAGACGACAGCCATGGCGAGGGAGGCGCCCACCGCTGCGAGGGCGTTGGCGCTGGTTCGGTCGAAGCCAAGGGCCATGATGATCGACGGGGTGTAGGTCGTCAATGGTGACCATGTCGAAAAGACGCAGAAGGTGGACACGTAGTGCGGCCACCGCTTGTAATGCTTGACAGTCTTCCAGACAAGAGCCCAGGGGATCTCGATGCCGCGAGCGCCGCGCCTGCTTCCGAGCTCGTCAACTTCCATCCTCTTCTGGAGTATTTCTTGTTGGTACGCCGTGAAGCGGACGACACCCGCGCTTGCCAGCGGCTTCGGTATGTCGGGGGACCCTGGGAGGAGCAAGATGAGCATCAGCGCCACGACGAGCGTCACCAGGCCCTCGACTGCACCTGCCTGTCAGCCACACAGTCGGAACACCGAAAACAGAGCTGATTATACACGGGAGGGGTTGTACGCACTCAAGAATAGCCACTGCCACCCCGTCAACCCTCCCTTGCCCGCCAGCTTCAGGATTCCCGACGCGACCAGGGGGCTCAGGGCGTTGCCGCCAAACTGCCCAAACATGAAGACGGCGATGCGCTTCGCCAGCTCGCGCTTCGTGTACCAGGTCGAGAGGGTATACATGGACCCGGGGATGTAGCCCGCCTCGGCGAGGCCGAGCATGAGGCGGACGGCGAGGAAGCCGGCGCGGTTCTTGACGAGGACTTGGAGGGTGCCGACGAGGCCGAAGAGGAGAACCTGGAGGGAGATCCATTTCCGGGGCCCGAACTGTTGTCGTTTATGAGGTTAGAATAGCGACTGAAAGACGCATTGGATGGAGTGATGACTGAGGTGAGGAAGCAAGGTGGATGGACAAACGCTTGGCGAGAACGCACCCATTGCAGAAGCAGGTTGCACGGAATCTCCAGCACAACGGTGCCCATGAACATGAGCTGGTTCCCGAGGTTGATTGTATCCTGGCTGACGTCAATATCCTTTGCAAACCCGGCGGTGAGGGCGCTGGCGAGGTTCATGCGGTCAAGCTGGAACATGAGTAGGCCGAGGACAAGGAGCGGGAGGACGGTGAGGTCGACTCTGCAACCCGGTAAGCTTCATCCTCTACAGACCGTTCCTGTGTATACACACTTCCTCTTAGCCTTCTGCTCTTGTTCAGTATCCCACTCAGGCTTGTCTTCGAGCGCGACGACGGAGCGGTCCGTTGGGGTGTCACACACCACCTTGTCGTCGGTCCGGGAATCCATGGCTGTCGTCGATCACGTCGGTAGTTTGCGATGAAGTGAACAAACCAAGCGATCCGACCGAGGCCAAACGAACGTTCTCTCCAACTACTTTTCACTTTTATTGTCGGCCATCCAGGTCTCCCCAGCAGACCCTCACGATGGCATCCCTCACCCCCTTGTCCCCATCGATTGTCGAGTTGATCCCCATCTGGGCTTCAGGGATGAACCAATGCAGCTCGCCCGTCTTGTCCATGACCCGAAAAACAAAATTACAGGGTCCAAGCAAGACGTGCGCCATGATGCAACCGACATAGAACCTTGATGGCCTTACGGAGTACACATACGGATACCTAACCCATATAACCCTTATCGATAAGCACTACAGTGAACCCAATAACGCCATCAGACGCTAAGATGATCAAATCCGCCCCTTCACGATTCCAGACACAGCGGACCCCTGGCTAGAGGAGCGTCTCTCGCTGTATTTCTGCGATGCATCCCTGCACGACTACCCCGTCAGGCAGCTTACAGATACGCGATTGGTCCATGTCTTGAGGGATATCAGCGGGGTGCTAGCTTGTGCCCCTCCACGCGCTCTCTCGCCGTTGCGAGCCGGGACCAAGTCCAAGCTCTTGGGGACCGTCTGCGAAAAGCAATTGGTGCTGCCAATTCTATTTCTCTTGTTTTCTCTCTCCCGACCTTTATTCTCCCCTTTATCTCACAACGCTCTTCCACGTGTTCTCATTGACCTGTCACAAGTTGAGCCGGAAACATGGGCGCAATCAAGAGAGTCGCAGTCATCGGCGCAGGGCCGGGCGGGGCCATCACCATCGATGCCCTGGCCCGCGAGAAGACCTTCGACGTCATCCGAGTGTTCGAGCGCCGAGAAGCCGCGGGCGGTTGCTGGTGAGTTTTACCCTTCTTCAGGTTTTAATTCGTCGTGTTTTTTATTTTGTTTTCTTTCCCCCAAATTCAATGTGACGCGGGGTGACGCCGCACTCATATAACTTGCTCACCGGGTACCTTGACGGTTCGAGATCCCAGTCGGCGCCTCTTCACAACTGGGGGCGTATGTATACGGAACGAGAGATATATGGGCACCTGGATGGCCTACTTCAAATCTGGTGAAAGTACACCGCCTGGAGCCCCAGAGAAACTAGGTTCACTTGGATTCGGAAGAGATGAGGTGAACAGTGCGATCATGTACATCAAGATATGGGATGACAGCAATTGGACGAGATGGGGCGGGACCTGTGACCAAACAACCGTAACATGCACTAACCAACCGATCCCCCAGGGTTGGCGACCAAACCCCTCCGCCACACCTCACCGACCTCCCCGCCCTCGCATCCCGCACCGCCGACCGCCCGGTCCCGATCCCGGAGACCCTCCCGGCCCGAACCCCGAAACCGCAGACCTCCTCGCCGCCGCGCTTTACCGAATCTGGCATTTACCCCTACCTGGAGACTAACGTCGATGCCATCCCCATGTCCTTCTCCGAGGAGTCCATCCCCGAGCAGCGCACGGAGAACTCCATCGCCCTGCACGGGCCCGAAACGCCCTTCCGCCACTGGACCGTCGTCCGGGACTTTGTACAGGGACTCGTGAACCGCAATGGGTACCAGGATTTCGTCTCGTACAGCACGACGGTGGAGCTGGCCGAGAAGATTGGGGGCGAGTGGAAGCTGACGTTGAGGAGGGAGGGCGAGGAGGTGGATGAGTGGTGGGTTGAGTATTTTGATGCTGTGGTTGTTGCCACGGGCCATTACTGGGTGCCTTACATCCCCCACATCGAAGGCCTCGAAGAGTTTGAAAAGGCTCGCCCGGGGAGCGTGATTCACAGCAAGCACTTTCGCGGACGAGACCAGTTCCGTGACAAGGTATGCGACTGCTCACGAATGGATCCCGTGTGCCATTAGACTGACTGTTGCCCAGCGCGTCGTTGTAGTGGGCGCCTCCGTCTCCGGAGCCGACATCTCGGTCGACCTCGTCAACACCGCAAAGCTCCCCATCTACTCGGTCGTAAACGGCCGCAGGGCAAACCTCTACTTTGGCGACGGCGCATTCAACCACCCCCGGATCTCACGCCGCGCCACCATCTCCCGCATCGACGGCCGAACGGTGCACTTCTCGGACGGCACCTCCGTCGCCGACGTCGACAACATCGTGCTCGCCACGGGCTTCACCTGGACACTGCCGTTCCTACCCTCGGTCGAGGTCCGCAACAACCGCGTCACGGGCTTGTACCAGCACGTCGTGTACCACCGCGACCCGACCCTGGTCTTCGTCGGCGCAGTGGCGGCGGGCCTGACGTTCAAGATCTTCGAGTGGCAGGCCGTCCTCGCGGCGCGCGTGCTGGCCGGGAGGGCGAGCCTGCCGCCGGCCGAGGAGCAGGCGAAATGGGAGGCAGACCAGGTCGCCGAGAAGGGCGACAACATCAAGTTCTCGCTCGTGTACCCGCACTTTGAGGAGTACTTTGAGACGGTGCGGGCGCTGGCCGGCGAACCGGAGAACGGAGTCGGCAGGGCGTTGCCGCCATACGACCCGTCATGGCTCCAGGTCTTCTTCGATGGCCTTGAGTTGAGGAAGAGGATGTGGGAGAGGCTAAATGCCCAAGCACAAAAGGAGCTTGAGCAGGCAAAGCTGACGGCGAATGGTTTGGTGGCACAGGGGGACAAGGGCACTCACGCACCACCACCAGCAGCGAATGGGCCAGAGACCGAGAAAGTCCCCATCGTGACGACGATTGAAGCGCTCCGGGAAGTGCAGTAGTCTTCATTCAATTGTATTAGATTTAATCATCTATAGAAGAGTAGTGAGTATGGGAGGACGCTGGTGCCGGTGTCCCTGATTCCATGTGGTCTACGGCAAAAACCACGGCCGGGGTCCGTTTCGTGATTGCTATTACGGTATGCTGCACAGACAGAACGGTTGCTAGATGAAGACGGAGAGCTCAGCTAATGGAATCTGGGGCATTATCCAGCCAACCTTGTAAGCTCATGTGGAGGGATAAGCCAGAACATCAGTGGAGGCTAATGAGGATGGCCATATGCCGACGTGGCTGGTCAGTCACGCACGACCAAGCATCATAATGCGAAGTCGTAGCGCTCGCTCTGGTCAGACAAACCCCAGGGAATGCATGATAGATAGATCTCTTTTGTTCGCTGCGCCAAACAGATTCGCTCGCTAAGCATAGATCAGCGGGGGCGACAAAGAGATGGGGTCAAGCGCTTACGCGTGGGCGCCGTCTTACATCAGCTGCGACGGCAGTCTGCGAGAACTAACATCAGCCCTCCAAATATGATATGCAAGGATTCGATCCTCTGGAAGCCCCCAAAATCCTGCCAGCGCATCTTAACGACCCGGTGCGTCCCAAACATGAGGCTTATTATCTCTTCAGCCGTGACGGCGACGGGCGTGTAATAAACAAGGCGTGGCATGTGGAAAAAGGGCCAGTATCCCACGCGCCGCCGAAAGTCGCGAGTAGCCAGGCCGGCTTTCGAGATAACGAGATTTACATCACCAACGCGAGCAAGCATGAACGCCCCACCTCAACCGTCGCCGTCGCTGCCGCCGAAGCCCTTGGAAGCGCCGCCAGCATTCGGCCTGGGCCGCCGCATCAGGGAGCTCCGATTCGACATGACGAATATCCTTCCCGGACCGCGCGTCGTACCGAGCCTCCTCGTCAGCGACTTCATCGGCTTCGTCCTCTACGCCATGATGGCGCCCGAATTGTCGACCGTCTTCGAGAAGAAGCTCTACGATGCGGTACCGCTCGCGCGGGCCGTCTGCGAGGGCCTCCGCTGCTTCCTGGACGCCTTCCGGCAGGAGCGGTGGCACCAGGTGGACCACACGCAAGAGACCGCCGACAAGTGGTGCTCGTACTCGTACCGGTCGCCGCCCCCGCGGCTGCGGTCCTACCGCGAGATCCTCAACCGGCAGCAGGCGCTGAGGAACTGCTGCGGCGCCCAGCTGCGCGGGCTGGGGACGCGAGACGTGGTGGGGAACATGCTGCTGCAGGCCACCCTCGCCTTCTGCTGGGCGTGGGCGCTGCTCCGGGACCACGTCACGCTCGTCTGGCTGCTGGCGGCCATCGAAAACGGGTGCGCGAGGTACAGGGAAAAGATCGAGACGTCCACCCCACCCGCGGTCCGCAGGGGGGAGAGGACCATGCCCGTGGCCCGGGGGGGCGGCGGCGGCGACGACGACGTCGGCCCATCGTACTGGTGCCTGGGGAGGGTGCAGCGGCAGATCAGCCGCGGCCACGACCTGATCAGCAAGTTCGTGGAGTTGGACATGTGCCACGTCGGGGGCGGAGCCGTCTGGGACGAGACGGAGTGGCTGTCAGAGAAGGACGGCGAGATTCCGGCGGACGCCGTGGTCGACGAGGACCGGTTTCTCGTGAACCGCGTGGCCTTCTCGACGTGCATGTCGTGGCTAATGGTGTCCATCAGCTGCGATTTTGCGACCTTTTACCTCCTCGTCCTGCTGCGGCGCCTCCGGGGTCGTCTCGTGGGGTGCTTTTGGGGAACATAGTGTACATATCTTGGGGGCTGCCGTTGTTTTTATGTTACTATACCCGGGAGAGTCAATGAGCAAGGAAGAGTATGAGGAGCAGCAGTAGTCCATGACAAGGATGTATTGGGCATTGTCTCATCAACACCGTAAGAGGGGATATCGCTTTCCATGCAAACAAACGCCTTCCAATGCAACCCGGAGAAAGAAAAGAAAAAAGCCCTTCTCTTAGCGCCGGCGCCGGAACTTGCTGTTGTAACCCGGCCCGCCCTTCGCGCCGTTGTTCTTTAGCTTCAACCGGCGGAAGTTTGTGTGCGCCATCTCGTTCACCTTTCTCACGGCCTTCTTGACTGTTCCCACCTTCTCCGTCTTCTTTGCCGCCTTCTTGGTTGCTTTGGCTCTAGAAGCCGACTCGTCGAATTCGTCGTCCGAGCCGGATCCCGCGCCTGCAAGCTCGTCTTCCGTATCATCCGCTGCCCCGTTGGCTTGTGTGTCCGGTACCGTCTCTTCATCGGCCTCCTCTTCCTGTCCGTCCTCGGCCGGACCAGATGGCCGCTTGCTGCGCACAGGCTTCATGTTGACTCTCCTCGTCGTCCGCTTCTGGCCCTTCTTCTTATACACTCTTAGCGGCATTCCATCCCGTCCTGTCTGGTCTTCGTCGGGGCTGTCGTATAAGCCTTCGTCGTCGAAGCCACCCAGAGGCAGGTGCACTTGGCTGTCGACAGCAAGCAAGTCATCCCTCGGCTTTGGAGGTGCTTTCGGCCGGACGACTTCGCCTTCCGCTTCCCGAAGAGCATCGAGATCGTCGTCGTTGTCGAGTTGTTCCTCCTCCACTTTCCTGAGACTTGCGACAATGGCGCTGAGACCCCGGACTATCGGCTTCCGGGGCAAACGTAAAGGCGGGGCCACAAAGTCATCGTCCTTGGTCGGGGGCGGCTGGGTGTGTCTTTTCAAGAAGGACGGAGTGTTGAACTGGAGTTTCGAAACAGTAGTAGGCGTCTTGGCATCAGGCGGTCCGCTGTCTTTATTTTTCAGCGGCGTCATGAAGCTATCCAGCATCTGTCGTTTACTGGCCGACATGGGGGTCCGCCCGAATCTCGCATTGTCCTCGTCGTCGGGAGGCGTCGCACGCTTCCGCGGTGTCGTCATTGACCTTGAATCGGCGGCAGTGTTCAGGTCCCGGTTCTTCCTTGAAGGTGTGCCCAGTTCGCGCTCTACCATCAAGTCAAACAGCCCAAGCACGCGGCCGTCGCGCTGCGGCGTCGGGCCGATCGATCGCGGGGCTGCAGGGCTGAATAGTGTCCTGGATATCGAGGGAGTACTGGCGAGACCGGCACCGTCAGGATTCGATCTTCTTTTCGAGGGCGTCTCGGCATGTTTTTGTTTCTTGGAAGGCGTCGTTGTTGGCACGGGATCTTCTTTTCGCTTCTTCGGTCGTGACTCTTGTTTCGGAAACGGGGGGATCTTGCCAGAAAGGACGTCGCGGACTTTGTTGTACTGCTTGTATTTTTGTGCTGCCCAGGAACGATTAGTCTTCTGAACCGTTACAGTCGGGCACAAGGCTCTGCATACCTATGTCTGCATTGCGCTTGATGTCGTCTCTGCTGGGCTTCTTTCCTTCATGGGATTTTGCCCAGGAGGTTTCCCAGCTCTTCAGTTCAGTACGAAGCTTCTGGGCCTGCGTCTCATAACCTGCCCTCGTTTGATCGTCCATATCGAGGTTGTTGTCAGTTAAAACGCGTATACGTCATTGAAGAGGACGCGGCTCGACGGGATGCGGTGTGACGACTCAGATAAGGCGGTTAAAGGTATACTTGGGTGGATTTGGTTGTGGAGGTATAGGAACGCGGTTGAGACGCGACACTGGAAAAACCACTAAACGCGAAAGATTCACGGTCGCCCAGCAGCGGGTGCGTCAGTGCACTCATTCACTGGCCGAATACCGGCCCCACTCCGGGTCGGCCTCCATTTTACCCACCATACACCGGATACAGACACTTGCATACCTACCTATTAATTAGTGCCTGCCGTAGTGCTAACGCCTTGTCCGTCCAAGACACATTTGAAAGTCGCATACAAAAGCTGCAGACAAACTTTTGTCAATGAATGTGATACTTTGGCATCAGAGCTGCTGCTCAGATTTAGCCTCCTAATTGTGGATGTATTGTCTGTTCCCAAGTCATCGACTTGCCCAAGTTATGTAATTAAACAATAAGCGCGAAAGCGCCATGTCGGTTAGGCACCGTCTCTTCATGGTCCAGGCAGTTAACCTCGGCTTACTAACAAAGGTTACGGTAGGTGGCGCACTCTATCGTAACTAGAAACAACATCTCCATCCCATCTTCCCTCAACACCTCACCTCGACGACTGCTCTTCTCGGAACTCTGTACCTTTGGCATGTCCCCCGAAGCGACATCCGGCGGAAACCCGAACCCCCGAGATCTCCATTCTGCCGTCCTGCAGACCACTTTGCAGGAGATATCGTCGCGATCGACAGAGCTCCAAGACTGCTGCGTCATCTGCCTAGAGGAGGTCACCGAACGCTGCGAGGCCCAACCTTGCCACCACCACAATTTCGACTACCTCTGCCTCGTGACATGGCTTGAGCAGCAAGCGGCTTGTCCGCTATGTAAAACCGAAGTCAAGGAGGTCCGCTACGATTTCAGCGACGACCAAACGCAATGGAAAACCTACAAGGCACCGGAGCGACCGCAGGAAAAGCCTACAGCTGCGGGAGCCTCTCCTCCGAGCCAACAGGCGAGGCGATTTTACTCCCATACACGCCTGCGATACTCGCGATCGCATGCGTACCCGACCCGGACCTTCACTCCTTCTCAAAACGAGGCGATTGCGCGCCGGAGGACCGTCTATCGGGACCAAATGTACTCGTTGCACGTCGGCTCGAACCGGATCTCGAGATACAGAGACCTGACGCCACAGCTGTTTGCCTCCGACGCCGAGCTCGTCTCTCGCGCGCGCACGTTCCTCCGCCGCGAACTACAAGTCTTCGAGTTTCTATCGCCCGACAACGACGCGCTGCCACAGGACGCCGACCCCGTTCGGCGACGCAGGGCAAACAATGCCGAGTTCCTCCTCGAGTACATCATTGCGATCCTCAAGACCGTGGATATGCAGGGCAGCATGGGCCAGGCCGAGGAGCTGATCCAGGAATTTCTGGGAAGGGAGAACACGCGGCTGTTGCTCCATGAGCTCAGAGCATGGCTGCGGAGCCCCTACATGACGTTGGAGAGCTGGGACCGCGCCGTACAATACCCGGATGCTGCGCCTAAGCGGCGGCGACGGTCGCAGAGTCCCAGCGCAGCCGACCGGGCGGAATCCTCAAGAAGCGCCGACGGGATCTATCCTTCGAGGTGGCGGAGGGACGAGCGGCGCAGGCACCGGCGTGAGCCCCACGAATCGCGCCGTTCACGGAATGACGAACGGTTGAGAGAGGCTACAGAGCGATACATTGTTGACTAGGCTCGCGGAGAACGGCCTGAATCACCTACATGATACCCTTGCATTTGATTTCTATTGCGGCGGCGGCGGAGTTATGTAGTATTCGCGGGGTCTCTCTTTGGCTTACGAGACTGTTACGATACCCTGCGGGTACTTTAGCCTCCAAGCTTTGGAACAGGCCCCGCACCAGGCCCTCCTAATGGAACCTGACATGACAGGAGTGTAGTAGTATAGAGTATACGAACAGACAAGGTCTCTTTGAGCTCTACGATTCATGAGATGTGACGCGGCAGGCCAAGTGCCGGGATGGAACTTTTTCAGCGCGCGCTTCCTTCTCCCTTTTCTCCTGGTTTGGATAATGGCGGGGTGTGGATTCGCTTATGTATGACCGGCGGCGCTGCAGCAGTGGAATGAGTGGGAGCGACCCCCCCCTCGAATAGATTCCGGCCACTGGTTCCCGTGGGGCTGATTGGTAATCACCTAAATCATCGGCATTCTGGGCGGAGTCCCGCCCGTGCTTCCAAGTCCGAGGTGATCTCACAAAACATATCTTACATCTTGTAGTATAGAACTTCACAGAACATTATCTCGCCTGTTTCTCATTCTCGTCACCCTTCTCCTCCCCACCATCACCGTCATCTTATAGCCGAATGAACGCCGCACGGCAAGCAAGCAAAATGACCAACATCAACATCAAGATCATCTCGGACCCCGTCTGCCCTTTTGTGAGACGCCCTTGCTCATGATGGATCACCGTTGCCGAACCCACTAACACAACCCCGGACAAAAGTGTTACCTCGGCAAAGCCCGCCTGGACCGGGCTATCGACTTGTACAAGAAGACGTACCCCGGCGGCAAGGACGACACCTTCAACGTCACATGGTCGGCCTACTACCTCGACCCGACGGCACCCCCCAAGGGCGTGCCCGTCAATGAGCGCATGGCGGAGCGCTTCGGCGCCGAGCGGCTCCATATGATGCACGAGCGCATGAAGCAGATGGGCGCCGCCGAGGGCTTGAACTTCACCTTTGGCGGCAAGGTCGGCCACACGCGCGACGCACACCGCACGATTCAGCTAGCCAAGTCCAAGGGCCCCGATGTCGAGAACGCCGTCGTGGACTCCATCATGAAGAGCTACTTTGAGGAGGACGGTGACGTGACGAGCTGGGACATGATTGTGGACGCGGCGGTCCGCGGCGGCCTCGAGAGGGACGAAGTGCGGAAATGGCTCGAGGAGGGCAAGGGCGGACAGGAGGTCGACAAGCAGGTCGAGGATGCGTACCGCATGGGCGTGCGCGGGGTGCCGCACTTCGTCATCAACGACAAGTACGAGATCGGCGGCGCACAGGATGCAGGCGAGTTTCTGAAGCAGATTGTGGCGGCCAAGGAAAAAGGCGGCCAAGGGTCGAGCGGACAGACCGGACCGTCGTGTTGAGCATTCAGAAACCAGCAATCTGCCTCTCTCTGTGCTTGCTGAATCCAAAAAAAAGTTCAACGTCATACCGTAGAGCTCCTCCGTCGCATTGTGGGTATCATGTCGTAAGAACCGTTGTAAAAGTGCCCTCCAACTTTCACATGTTCAGCAATCCTCCCAGATCCCTCTCCATCGTCCGTAGTCGCGCCTGCAGCTCGCGCTTCTTCTTGTCGAGCTCCCGCACGATCTCCTCCTCGGCCCGCAAATCGTCCTCTGTCATGAGATCCTCATCCTCATCCTCATCTTCCTGCTCGCCCTCTTGTCCCTCGTCGCCCTCGTTCATCCAGTGGTCCTTGTTCATCCTTTCGAGGGCGGCCTGGTGCTCGGCAACCTTCGCCTCGTAGTACGCCAGCGTATTAGTCTGGTGCGCGTACCGCGACCGTAGCTGGGGAATCCGTTCGAGTGCGCCGGGCAGGGCGTATACGCTGCACAGCTTCGCCGCACCCTTGAGGAGGATCTCGACGTCGACGTCGCCACCCTTGCTGGCGGCCTGACGCTCGCCACGACGCAGCTGGGCGTGAAGGTCCCCACCCAGTACGGCAGAGACGGCGGTGTGCCGACGGGGACCACCCATGCCGCCGACGCCGCTACGGGAGCTTCCTGGGGGCGGGCCTGTTGTGACTTCGCCTGAGGCGACGTTGAAGACGGTCTGGCGTCGGCCGGAAGCTGGTTTCGAGTCTGTGTTCTGCGAGGCGGAGGAGGATTGCGACGGCGGGGGAGGAGGGACGGAGAAGAGAGCGCGCTCATGAGCTTCAGTGTCGCGGATGAGGGAGGTAATATCGGCGTTGTAGAGCATCGCGTTTGTGAAGATTTTTGGAGGCGGGAACCTAGTAAGCTTATTAGAAACCCGGTCAAACGTCTCGAGAGCAATCGATTGGACTGCGGGGAAGAGCGAAGCGTACGGGAGGGAGTCGATACCCTCGCAGGAGAGAGCAATCTGCTCCAGGTGGATTGACAGCATCGACATGATGACGAATCAGCCTCAGGGTGAAGTTGAAATTCTGGAGGTGTGTATCTACGCAGACCGGTTCCGCGAGATGTTTGTTAAGACGAGGTTCAATGTTTACAAAGTGCCCCACCAAATAAATGGCGGTTTGGGAGAAAGAGGGTGCCAGCGACCCGCGTCGTTGCTTTGCGCACGGATCAGGTACCTACCCAAGGTTAGGTACTTACCTAGGTAGGTATACCTTGGGTGCTTCGTAGCTGTTCGTCCCAAATCCCAAGCGCCAAGCATTTCTGGTTGAGAACATCCATTCTTCATCAACTCTTCAACAACGTCGGCCTTCAATTACGATCTGGAGTTCCCCTTCAAGATTCGAAGCAAATTTCGTAGCGATTCGCAACTTGTCCAAATGCAATCTTGCGACATCGTAAGACCTTCATCCGGAGCCATCCTTGACTTGTACAACTCGACGGAAGTGATTACTACCATTGACGGCTGCCGAGGCTCGAGGCAGACAAACATAGAAGGTTGGCATTGAAGGTCTTGCCCTGGGGCCGAAAGCCGGTTGCGAAATATCTGGATGTGGCCGTGGGGGCAGTGTGCTCTACGACAATGCTGACAGCCAAGCCTTGTCATGTCTTTCCCGGTGTTGAAACAGTCGACGGGCAGGGCACTTGGAAGTCGATTGACAACGATACATCGCTGCATTCGGATTCAGCTCATTGTCAGCCAGACCGACGCCCAGCCACTCAGCTTACAAGGACACGGATCAAAGAAAGTTATCCATAATCAAGGCTGCAGTCTCCTAAGACGACGGGCTCTTTCACGGCTGCCTGGCCTATGTCGCTGTGTGCCTTGTCTTGAACGTTTAACGATCGACGACTCCCGGGTTGAGCGTGCCGATTTGCTGGGCGTGCGACGTCAGACATGACAACAGCTCAAGACTCTCATTGGACCTTTTCCCGAGCCTGCTAGCGCTCTCGTCTCACTCTCTCGCTCGCTCTCTAATGGCTTTGAGCACATGAACTGCAGTCTGTAAGTACAGTAAGGCATTTACACGTACCCAAGACAGCTCCCTCCCGATGGCAATGCGACCGGGATGGCCGCTATTAGCTTGCTTTTCGTGCATACCCGCGGTAAGTATCTCGGAGCCTCGCATATACTTTCTGTTGCTCTTGCACTGCCCAGATCTGACTGCATGCCACTCCTGCGCATTTCATTCCACTGCTTGCTCGTATTAGCCATTAGCCCCTCTCCTGCCTCACCAAAATGAACAAAGGTGGCAGGCACATGGAGGAAGGAAGGCTAAAGGCAACAACGGGCGAACAACGGCAGCGGGGCGGCGCCCTAGCCGCTGACGGTCGACACGCCCTAATAATTGGCAAGTGGCCCTGACCCAGTGATCAGCCAAGAAGAGCGACGGCGTCGTCAACCCCGGCCGGTTCAGCCAACTCAGCCCGCCCTGCACCTGCGCGTCTTTTCTTGGACCTCGATGACGGCATGCAGTTCAGTTCAGTGCCCTCGACATACAAACCGAGTCTACCTACCTAGGTAGGTACATCGAGGACTGCACTAAGATCTCTGAGTTGTTGGTGGAAGTTTCCTCGTGTCTCACCGGCGCCGCCCGCCGCCCGCCGCCTGCCATCTCCATCCTCCTTCCCCGCGATATAATGCCCCGTGAGCCCCCGCCCTCCTTCCCCAACTGGTCACTTGATCGGTTGCCCTTTCTGTCATCGTCGCCGCTACTGTCACCACCTCACATTCCATTTTGGCTGTATATTATTCTCGCCATCCCCCTTGTGATGGCCGTCGGTCTCTTTCCCGTCCCAGGCTTGGGCGAAAGGTTCGGGGTGCGTTACAAATCACAACAACAGAAACGTGCCAAGCTGCTCAAGGAGAGGATGGGCTCTACAAGGTTCCTGGGCTCCCAGGTCGGAGGGAGCACCGTCATCAACTACTCTTACACCGACTTCCCCTACAAGCTGCTCGCTTGGGATATCTACTACTTCTTCGAGTACATCTGGGCGCTGCCGTGGATCGTCTGGCCCGTCACCCCGGCCGACTCTGGCGACCTCGACGAGCTGGCCTTGACCAGGAAGAACCTCTTTTGCATTTTTATGCACATTATTCTGTTTGTTCTACAGCTTGCCTTCGTTCTGGCCCTGCCCTTCGCCATTCTGTTGCCAATCTGGGTGGCTGGGCTCGCTTCGGCCGCCTTCTTCACCCTCAACTATCTGCTTTGCCTCCTGCTCAACGGCCCGACGCTCACGTACACCTCGGACCCCAAGTATGCCCCCGAGCTGCCGGAGCACGCGCACGAAAAATGGGTTTTCCTTAACGGTGTTGCTGTGGGGTAAGTCGACATGCTCTTCCTTCGAGCCTCTATCCTCTTTGTTCTTGGGCAACAACTCGACTTTCCCTGTTTTTTGCCTTTCTAGGCGCTATGACTGTTGGCAAACTTGCCTGAGAACATGTACTGATATTGCGACAGGGAACACTGGATGAAGAACAACCTCAACAGACTGGCTCTTACCTTCAAGCGGCCTATTCTAGGTATCCACAACCAAACGTCAGGAATCCTCTTCGACGTTGTCGAATGTCTCATCCAGCGGAACCTGGGCTACGCCACGTATGATGTACGCATGTGCTACCGCATTGTCAAGGAAACGCTCTACAACCCTCAATACTCCAAGGTTGTTTTTGTTCTGCACTCACAGGGCGGCATCGAAGGTGGTCTCGTTCTTGACTGGCTGTTGCAGGAACTGCCCCAAGACCTTCTTGCCAAACTCGAGGTAAGCGAATTAGATTCACTTGGCCTTCGCACAGGCAGCTAACAATACACCATCAGGTATACACCTTTGGAAACGCTGCAAACCACTTCAACAACCCTCATCGCCACGCGTTGTCACAGGCTCTGGCGCAGAACAATGACGCTGCCATGACTGTAACCACCACTACGATGACCCATGGAGACCTCACTAGCAGCCCCATATCCTCAGTCACCAACAGTGACCTTGGTCAGGTTTCAAGTCTGAGCAACGGAAGCAAGAGTCAGAAGAGCCAGTCTGGAACTCCAGCCATTCTTAATGAATCATCGTCGACCTCGTCACGATCCTCGACTGCAGCGCTAGACAGAGCCATAGGCCATGTTGAGCACTACGCCCACTCAACCGACTTCGTGGCGATTTGGGGTGTCCTACACTTCTGCACGTCCTTGACTGCTGATCACACCATGCCACGCTTCATCGGGCGGCTATTTGTGCGCGCCTCGGAACGCGGCGGTCACCAGCTTTGCCAGCACTACCTCGACGGCATGTTCCCTCTCGCCAGGGACTCAGAGACGGGTGAGTTCATCGGGGCTTCGGACGAAAACGAGTTCATGGAGAGCGAGATCCAGGTCGGTCGGGAAGGCGATGCTGGAGTCAACGCGCGCGAGGCGTTTGAGGTGTCGTATCTCGGCCGTGGGTTCGCAAGCGAAGTCGAATTCCACGGGGAGCACGTCAAGGGAAGACACAGGAAGAGAACGGTCAAGGTCAAGGATCTCTCCCGACTGTGGCTGTATCGCAACGGTCGCAGTCCCCCCGAGACGCCGCCACTGCTGTACACGGAGAATGGCATTGTTAGGAACGCGACTCTGTAAGGAACCATTGTGGTGCTTTGGCTTTTTAGTCCATGGCCGCATAGATTGATACCCTCTTATTACTGATACTTCTGTACACGGAGAATAGCTTTGTTAGGAACGCGGCTGCGTAGTGAAGCATTGTGGTGCTTTGGAGTTTTAGTCGGTAGTCGCATAGATTGATACCCTCTTATCACACTTTGTTTCCATCGGTCTGTTTGCAGCTGTACCGCTCTCATGCTATTACGATGATGATATGAGATCAATGGGCTAAATGCCCACGTGTCAGTCAAGGTTCACTCTAGAAGAAAACTACCCTGTGGCACTAACACTGTCCCTATCAAGGGAGTGTGTTGGTTATATAACTAATCGTGAGGTATTCGGTACCGTGATAACACACATACTTGTATGTAACAACTTCTACAATACAACACACTTCAGTACATAGTACTTCACTATTTAACATTATTCCATCTAGGGTCGTTCTTGTCGGCAGTTAGGTTGAAATATGTCATGCTGGAGCAGGAAGTAGGCGGCGAAAAAGATTCATGTCGCTTCTCGTGAATAGGTGTAGGGTTAGACTCGTGCGCTCCCCTGATATACTTGGCTGCTGAACTAACCTTCCAGGTGTCGAAGCTTTGTGAAGCCTGTGCCCAAAGTCTGTCGGTGCCGTAATACTGTCGTGACGGCCTCAAGAGGTTGAAGCCGTCTGATTCTTCGATCTGCCCTCGTCTGGAGCCTTACTTCGATTTCTCTCACATCCTTACGTAGAGAAATCATGCCAGTCTCAACCAACGATTCCTAGGCGCGCACACAAATAGCCCTTACGTTATCTATCTACACTCTTCAAGTATTGCTTGCGCCTTCTTCGTTCGCTCCCAATTCACTCTTGCGGCCAACGAGTTGTCGGCAGACCAGGTCACAAGGTGCGACGTCAGATTTGCCGTCCAACGGCACAGACGGCTGAATTTTCACAGGGAACAAAGACCAAGATGCTGTTCTATCTCGCCGCGGTCGGAGCGGTCTGGATCGTCAAGCGAGCAATGCGAATGGATTTCTTCGCTCCCCAAGTCATCCACAACCGCCTCAACCCCGTCCACCTGGCTATCGGCATCCGCGGTTACCAGATCCAGACGGAGATCCTGGGCATACCCGAGCAATGCGGCCTCTTCTCGTCGGGTCCTCCCCGTCTCTAGGTTCATCAAGGCAGCGTGGATCCGATCTTGTGCTTGTTGCTCGTTTTCCCTTTTGTGGTCTTGGTGGGGGCAATGTTGTTTTTGAGGAACGAGAACACGAAAGTGTCCCTTTATGGGGTTTATTGCTTGCATGACAATCTTAAGCGCCCTACTCTGGTAGATGTCGTGTGTCGACCCCCGCCGCGCTCCAGGCTACGAATGGAATGATTGGAAGCCAAACAATGATTGAAATTGGCCTTCTCACATGATTGAGAAGTTGCACTAGCGTCCTCGCCTCAAAGGGCCTGCATGGTAGTTGCAAAACGCGGTTAAGGAGCAGAAGAATGACGGGAATTGCCTAAGGAGGCAGGGATACCCTGAGCCTTGATGGCATCTCGAAATATCCGAAAGTCACTCGCCTGGAGAACTGCACAGTCTGGGAAGGAAGATGGGCAGGATGAAGCACCCTAGAGGAGCCGTTATTACGTTAAAGGGAACGAAGGGCGCAATAGACAGGCCAGTATGCTTCTGTAGCTCTTGAATGCGTTCAACCTAGGCCTCTGATATTGTTTATAAAGGAAGTGAAAATAAATTAGTCAAGGGTCGGCCTAAGATCTTAAATCCTAATTCCCAACTTAAGACTAGCACTACTCAGCAGCACACCTTGGAGACACACCTGACTGCAGTTAGACCCTTAGGTATTCTCGGCGCGTCAAGGGCGCTATAATTAGGACAGCAGAAACAGAGACTGGTCCCCCGGAAGAGTTATTGCTTAAGTACTCAAGAGGCAGGTAGTTCCTCCTGACACGTCTTCTGAAGCATTCAAGTTATGTTGTTGAAACTATCTACCTAATCAATCAAGTTATGTCCCGCTTCTCAACCAGCGTCTGTGTGTATCATCAACGCGTTCCGGTAACGTAATTAAAGTTTGTCTATCTGGGTGGCCCCGTATATTTGCATAACAAAACCGGGCCTAAGCTGGTGACAATCCTCGGTGACGACTGTCTTACCGAGAGGTGAGGCTCAGTAGGAGGTGTGGGTGGGGTTCGGCCTTATCAGAATGACTCACTGAGTGGCGGGTTGTGGGCCCTTCGTGCATAACCTCCCTCCCAAACTGCAGCGAGACCCTAGCTAGCTTGATATCGGTCGAATCGACCGGGAAACAATGCCAGCGAAGCGAACCCATGCCATGTCAAATCAGCATGGATATGTTTTACACGTGTGTGAAGATTTCATTCGAGGCCGGTCATGCTCTCCCTACACGTGTAACGCTTGACAAGCACAGACGGACGACCCTTTGGAACCGATTTAGGGGAAGAAAAAAGAAGATTTGGTCATTTCAACGGTGGTCTGACAGTTATCAGCCACGCAAACGATTCATCTCGAGGCAGCTGATTACACACCGCCTCAAGTCCAATCACCGCCATTCCCGACAACTTGGGAATGCGGCTTGCCGAGAGTGGCGCGTGTCCCTGACCTAAGATAAGGTAGGGTGCTTGATCAACAGCGGACATTGGCTTCCGTGTGTGTATCACCTTGTACTCCGTACACTACGCACCATCTCAGAGCCCAAGGGTGGAAACCATGAAAAAATAGATGCTTGAGCTTTGCTGCTTTGCATACCACATGCCTCAGCCCTGGCATCTGTTTCGCGCCGTCTCTAATGTCTAATGTCTATCGAGCCGCCGAAAAATTGACGCAAGCCGGCCCCCCTTGCGCCGGGATCGCACCATGGTGGGTACCTTTTGCCCACCATGAATCCATCAAAGGAGCTTAACGCGCTTCAGAGCGGCGAAAGGGAGGCATTCCAGACGCGCCAGAGTCCAGAACGACGACCGAGGGGTGTTCGGGGTCCCATAATTAAAACTGGAAATACCCGAGCGATCTTGAATCCGTTCGCCGCCATCCTTTTTTCCCCCCCTGGTTATCGACCTATCGATGTTGGGAACGCGACTCACCAACAAATTTTCCAACCTGACCCTTGGGAGGGTATTTATTTTTGTCTTCTCTGGGTGGCCTTTAAGCAGTGACATCCCCCTCAGTCGTCTTTTTTTCTTTCTCTTCCACACGAAATCCACACCCCATTTTGCAGACAAGGAAAACCCTCAAACCCACCAACGATATCCTTAACACACCAAACCGACATGAACACGGTCCACATCAAGCGTGGCTCCGTTCGGCAGGGCAAGTACGACATCTATTGGAGTAAGGACAATGAGTGGGCCATCATCGACGATGAAGAAGAGGAGGAGAACGAGCGCCGGCTGAAGGATGCCTACCACCACCCCCGCCTCAGCTCGCGATACCTGACCGCCGGCCTCTTCGTAGTCCTGGTGCCCGCCATGTGCGGTTTGCTCTGGTGCTGCCGGTGCGTTCTCCCTCGCGAATTACCTTGCCGTCTCGTGTGTACCGGGTTCGGTTTTACTGATACGGCAAGCAGACTGAGACGACGCATTTGAACACCCAAAGTGTCGCGAGGAAAAAAAAAAAAAAGTTTCAAAAGACAGGAGCCGACTCTTGTTATCGGCTTACCCACCAGATTACGACCCATGGTTTTATGCAGAACTTCCACGTTCTTCGCCCAAATTCTCCGAACCAGCGCAGACGAGACAGTGGCCAGGCGCGCAGATCGTTTCCCAATGCGTTGCTCGTCATTGCCTCCTGCGAAGCCACCATGAAGCACCACTCACGGCATGCCCAAGGCTTGATTTCTTCAACGAATTCTTCGTCCTGCAACCAGGGAGCGTGCTGTGCAACCCCACTCCACCCTACTTTCTCCCGGTCTTCGTATTCTCTTTCTGGGCATCCGATTGCTCGGCCGTGGCGATGGCGGCATTCGACCCGACATGAGCCGTTCTCTTGGCGAACGCCGAATCGGATGACCCCTTTTGTCTTCGCCAGCAAATCTGCACACGCGGCAGCGCCTTCGCATGCGCCTACGACATTGAGCGTCAACTCGACAACCGTTAGATCCAGCACGACGATACGGTTCGCCTTGAGCAGCGATGCCGCAATCTAGCGCGTGCTCACTGGGGGAATCATCGTTTTCGTTGGGCGTTGCGGATGCACGCCGTGTCGTAAAGAGAACTGCATTCGCGTCAGGCCGAGCGCATGCCCGACCGCGACGGGTATGGAGTGCTGCGTCGGTTGGGTTGCTCGCGACACGCGACGTATGATCACTAGGCCAGGAGGACATTTTTGCGAGATGCTGCACTACGACGTGGTCTGTTCAATTTGGTACAGAGATGTTGGGTAAGGGGTCATGGGGAAAGGGTCGGCGGTTGGGAATGTGTACCATCTGCCTCGTATACATCAAGTCAACGGAGCAGCGGCTCGACGAGAGCAGTTATACATACATAAAACCACTGGCCTCAGACGTCACAATTGGGCTCAAGGCGCAGGCCCCGCCCGCTCCCTACTACTTAGACGGACACGCATATACAAACGAAATAGAAGCAAGCACGTCGAAGCAACCGACTCGTCCCAGACTCCCAGTACACCGCGCCGACGAGGCCGAAGTAGTCCGACACAAACCGGATGCACTTCATATAGCCTACGCGACAGCTCGTTACGACTTCTTTTATTTTTCGAAAGAGTTTCTACGTGAATAGGGAGAAACGCGGATGTCAATGAGGGAAGGAGTGGGGCTGAATCCATGATTGTATTGGGGAGAGAGAGAGAGAGAGAGATGACGGCGGGAGAATCAGAGCCGGCGGCGGGCGGCGTACCCCGGCCAGCCCTTCCCATGTTGTTTACGAATCAAATGAAGTTCAGAACCCTAACTCGGAACTTCGGCCGATGTCAGGGAGGGGATCAGTGCGTCGGAACGTTCACGAACGAACGTTGTTGGCAATATCGAACGACCAGGGGGGGTCCAGGGGGGGGTTCCTCTACAAGCCGCATTCCGGTGTCTGCACACACCCAAGGAACCTGTTCACTTCAGACGACGGCATTCAAAGACTGGTTAGGGTTCACACCGCCTCTCAATAGATAGATAGTCAAAGCGTAAAACGAATAATGTTTAATGAGCATTATCTTAATTAAGTCAAGGTATCATCAAGTCATCAATGTGTGTGCCATGCCAGTTCATCATTAACCCGTCCCAATACCCCTTCCAAATCGTACAAGTACACGCGATCCGGGCGGAGTGGCGTGTGTGTGTGTGTGTGTGTGTGTGTGTGTGTGTGTGTGTGTGCGTGTTGAATGCGTCCCGCCTCAAGTCTTCAACTCGACGTCGCGTCGGTACGTCCACGTGGTGGCATCCGAGTAGACGGGCTTGTATCCCAGGACGCCCTCGACGAGCGAGAGGATGACGGTCGGCGTGAGGATGAAGGCGCCGCCGTACTTGTGCTCGGTGGCCAGCACCAGGCGGTCGATGCTGGCGCCCATGCCGAAGGCGCACTGGTGCAGACGGACCTCGACGGCGGGGGGCTGTTGGTTGTTCAGTGTCAGCCATAAGTTTCGAAAAAGAAGTTGAACCAAGAGACATGCAAACAGAAGCAAAACCACGACACACGTAATGGGGGACTAAAAAATTTCGGGTGTCGCACCTTGCTGCTAATCTGGTGGTTCGTCCTGCGCCAGCGCTTGAAATAGTCGGCGAGGAACTTGAGCGTCGGGCTGTGGCTGCACTGAACCTCGATCTCGTGGGCGCCGCGGCTGTATATCATGAGATGGTAGGGCGGCTTGAGGAGCAGGTCGTCCGGACGGGGCAGGGCGTCGGCGCGGGGCATGAAGTCCGGGGGCGGCTGGGTGGCCGTTGAGCTCACCGAGGGGCCGCGGCGGTGGCGGGCGGCGTCGGGGCCGCTGATAGAGAGGCGGCTCACGCGGGCGTCGACGCCGTCGACATCGTCCCAGTCTTCGGCATCGGGCGAGGCCGTGTAGGGTGGCAGCTGGCGGTGGTCGGCAAAGGAGTCCTTGAGCTCGGCCTGAAAGAGCGGCTGGAGATTCACTGGCGTTATGCGCTGGCGCCGGGGGAGGGAGACGAGGAAACCACCGCGGTCGTCAGACCACGACGTCGAAACGTCGTCTCCAGTGGAGATCTGCCGTCTGCGTGTTAGTTGGTCTGGTTCCTGACGTCCCCGGTTCTGGGGACCATCGGGTCCTTTGGGTTTGGTTTGGCTTGGGTGTTTTGCGTCACCACTCACTTCGATAAAGAGCCTAAGTCTCGACCAGGTGATCTTGAGCTTCTCTAGCAGCGTCTCGGTCCACTCCTCGTTCTTTCTATCGTCGAGGAGCTCCGCTGCGGCGCGGCACCACGCCGCGACGGTGCCGGCAACGGCGATGACGGCGTCAGCCCTGTCGGTGTATCCGGCGTCGAGCTCGGCGAGGAGGAGCTGCCACTCGGGGTTAACGTCGACCTCGAGACCGAGGACGTCCTGGAGGGACTTGAGGGACTGCTGGAGGTGGCTGTCTTCCTTGGTCCAGTGGTCACGGATAGCAACCTTCACTTTGAGGGGTCTAGGGGGGGAGTCGGTTAGGGTGTAAGTCGGGCGATGGGGGGCAGTGATTCTCACAGAGTTGTCATGCCAGGCTCGAATTCGCGTTGGTTCGTGTCTTCTGATGTGATATGGTGTGTGTGTGTGGGTGTGTGGGTGTAGATGTTGATGAGGTCTTTGTGGTGAGAAATTGGATCGAGACGAATCCCGTCGACTGGTCATGGGCATCTGACGACTAATATCTGCTTCAACCACCCGTGAAGGAAGGACCCACCCGGGTGATATTTGTGTGCCCGCCGACCAAGTAGGTACACTAACCAGCCCGCTCCCCCCCCCCCCCCCCCCTGTCTGCATCCCAGCGCCAAGCTAGGCGCCCAGACACACCCGGCAGGGCGCAACGCAGCTGAGCATGTGGCGTCACATCATTCCCATATTGGGCGAGGCGGAGCTGTTCACATACGCCCGCATGGATGGTGGTGAAGAGTCACACTTTACGTATTAATGAGAATTGCGGCCTCCATGCGACACATTTGAGTTTGAACCATGGACCAAAGACGTCCCTGATCAGTCGCACGACTCTCTGGATTGCGGCGATTGACGGACAACTTACAAGGGGTGCGGCGTCCCATCCGTTCGATGGTGGAACATCAGGTCAGATGACGAGCCGATGGGCTTTTTTATGGTTTGGCGCAAAGGTCACGGGACCACAGCGCGTGCGAACATGAACACAACATACCACCGGTTGCATCGGCATGTCGGGCAGAGACAAATGAACAACCCGGGCGCGTGCCGGGTTGCATCGAGTTTCGACAGCTGGGGTTATCCTTGACTACCTACCTACTACAGTACAGGCCACCGATACCTACCTAGTTCTGACAGGCCTCAGAAAGAGGTCGGAGGACTCCCAGCGATACCGTCGGATGATCAGAGAAGAAATCGGAAGGGATTACGGAGTACACGGAGGAAGAGTGACGCTACGGTCCACTCATCGGAGCAGAGCACTGCAGGGTATAGTAACAGCATACGGAGTAGAATGGCATGACATGGCATGGCATTGCATAGGCCGCGGAAACGGTAAACGGTCCGGACCGAGAAGAGAAAGGGAATGGCAGGGTCGTGATGTCATGTGGTCAACCAACCACCTTGCATTGCAGCGTATGGGCTGCCTCTGTCTCCCCGGCCAGCGAGTCCGAGTCTTTATTTAGCGTAACGATAACGAAGTATATGCCTGTATGTGCATGCGTGTGTTGTACACAAGAGTGTCGGTGTCGATAAGGCGGGAAGGTGTTTGTTTGCATGTGGGTGTTTGTGTGCGTGTCTCGCTACGGAACGAACAACCATTGAAGGCCCAACTTCAACCTCGACTCCATCCCAAAGCCCACCGCTCTAGCTGTGCAGTAATATACGAATGCGATACCGACTCACAATCTCTGAAGCTCCGCCGCACCCAAGACAAGAAAAAGGGGGCCTCGATGTGTTGTGACGCGCCGAGGCGGCAGACATCACCGCGACCGCTGCTTGGCGGTGTTGCGGCTGCTGTAGATCCGCCTAGGCCTCCCCGCCAAGCCCCTTGGCTTAGGTAGGTAGTACACCTTGGCGTCCTGGAACCGCCTGGAAGAAAAGGGGAAAGACCTAAGAAAGAAAAAGAAGAAATAAAAAACTTAGTTGACTACAGCCTCACTGCGCCATTATTGCATCGTGACACCGTCGTGTCCACACCTGGCCAACGTCAACGAGGAAACGAGTTTTATTCCCCTTCATCACGACAACTCAGCCGCCGTAGGGCTGGCCGCTAGTATCGATGGCGCTTGCAAGGACGCCAAAGAACGGCTATCATTTTTTATCGCAAAGTCGGCCTAGCTTCGTCGTCTAGGCGGGGGTCGCGAAGACGACTGCTCTCCCGCGAACGTGTGGAACGAAGCCCTTGCCTGTGGCTGTTGACTGGCCAGAGCCGATGATGAGGCTGTCTCGTAGTCGAGAAGCTGAAAGAAAGGAGGGATGGAGGCGGAAATGAGTGATGGAATTGGCGACTTTCACCAGTTATGTTGATGAATACGAGTGAAAAATAAAAGGCTGTCGGCCCTCTTCGCACGACACAGGACATCCAGGGACATTCGGCACCGACATTGATCTCTACAATTCACTTCATCGCTTTGGTCTCATCTCATCAATCACCGCAACTCATCACAATGTCCCGCCTCCCTCCTGCTGAAAAGCTGCCCCTTGCTCTGCGTAAAAACAGTACGTCGCAAGCTTCAGTCATGCCCGCAAATTTTGTTCAGCTACTTACACACATCCAGTCCGTGACGAGTGGGACAGCAAGAAGGAGGACCTCCAAAAGGAGCTCTCCAACGTTCTCGGCGCCGAGTGGACGCTGGACGAGATCAACCCCAACGAGCTCTACCCTTACGCCGGAGATGGCTACGCCAAGCAGTCCCTTGGCAGCTGCATCGCACAGTGAGCCACGTCTCTCTCGGACCTCGGGATGGCCTGGTCCCGCCACTTCATCGGTGCTAACGTCGGGGATAGGTACGTGTCCTCGGCCATCTCCAACCTCAAGACCTTTGCCTCGACCTACGGCGATGATGGCAAGGCCGAGCTCAACTCCATCTGCCACGCCCGCTCCCTGCTCCTAGACCTCGACGACCGGCCCGACAAGAACGCCCGCGTGACGTATTGCGGCGTGCTCGTCAGGGACGGCGGCAAGCTGGCCGTTGTCTTCTCCGAGGGAAACCTCGGCACCAACGCCGACTACGCTGTCGACGGCCCGGGCCTGCTCAAGGCTCTCAACGACGCCCCGCCGGCCCCCGGGTCCGACGACGCCATGAGTTACGCCGCGCGCACGTCGGTGCGGCAGGACTACGACGAGCAGGTCGATGAGACGCGCAAGAAGCTGGCCGACATGCTCGAGCGGCCCGACGTCGTGCTCGTGCCAAACTTCGAGGCCAACTTTGCCCGCCTCCGCGAAGCCGCCAAGAAGAAGGGGAGCGAGGTGAGGACCGACTGGGAGGGGAACCTAGGCGGGTTCACGAGGATGTACTTTGAGGGGCTGGAGTACCAGATGGCCTACCAGAAGTTTGGCGACGACGACCTGCTGCGCGAGGGCTTCAACGACGCGGTCGAGAAGGGGGAGGTCCACTTCCGCATCGTGGATAAGATGGCCTACGGGACCTACGGGGAGGTCGTCCTGGAGGACGGTGCCATATACGTGCAGGTACGTCGATTCGGACCGTGGCAGATGCCGCATCGCGGTGTGTCACTTGCTGACCTGTCGACTAGACTCGGGCCCACCACTTTGGCTCCAATGTCAACTACGCCGCCGAGAAGATATTGGACCAGCTTTGATGACCAGCTTTGATGGATCTAGACAAAGCGCTCGTCAAGAACTGGAAAAAGCGTAGCTGACATATTCAGCATGGACAATGAAGTGATCTCGACCGACACGATTATGAGCTGATGCACAACGCGTTCAAATTACCTGAGACAACAACAAAAAAAAAAAAAAGGAAGAAAAGAAAGAAGAAATTTCGACGTTAAACGATCATGAAATAATTCTATCTTGACCTGTGACACCAGCGTCTGCTGCCTACGAGCGATCTGCACATCGTTGTCTCAAGAAAGGCTCCCACGACACCACCAATCATCATGCCTCCTGTTTCACCAGCGGTGACGAGTCCAAGGCTCAGCTCCCGATCAGCCTGGTCTTTGCGTTCCTCTCTGACTCTCGCTAGCACGTTGACGTACAGCGAGCCACCCGCAAGCCCGACTAGGAACGCCAAGAAGAAGGCAATGTACGTGGATATGAGGAAGACGGCGTTGAACAATGCGACGGCGGTCCATACGCCCAAAGCGACAACCTGCAGTCTAAGACTTCGCACTGGGAGGAAAGTGATCGACGACCGACCCAGAAGGGTCCCCAGATGCATGGCGACGCCGTACGTGGCGAAAAAGTGAGAAAACGACTCAAAGACGGACCCGTCCAGCGGTCTGGCGAGGCCGTGCTGCAGCAGAGACAGCGAAGCCGAAGCCGCGACGAGCGGAAACATGTCCGACCGGGCCAGGCCGCGCAGGGTTCTCAACTTCCTGCTCATCCCCCCGGGGCTGTTGGACCGCGGTGGTGCGTTCTCACGCCGACCCAGGAACGACCGCCCCTCCTCGGCGCTGGCGTCATCGCGATCCTTCCCACGCTCGTCGTCGTTCCTTTTGCCCCTTTTAGTGAGGCTCTGCGGCAGAAGAAGAAAGTGGGAGATCAGGAGCACGGCAACCAGGTGGTTGACGTACCCCGTGGCGCTCCGCAGGACCTTTCCCGCGCTGTACGTCAGCAGAAACGGCCACACGGCGTTCTGGAGCAGTCCCGCGCCGGTGCCGAAGCCCCACCCGACCAGGGCCGGCGCGCCGGCGTGCCCGACCATCTCGAGACAAGAGACCTCCGTCGCGGCCGAAGCGACGGAGGCGAGGACCGTCGTGAAGATGCGCACGGGGGGCATGACGTTGGGTGGCGTGTCGTCGGCGATGCGCTTTGCGAGGAGCCAGCACGCCGCGACGACGAGAGGTCGGATGCGGCATGGGGCGCGGTGGACGACGAACGGCAGCGACAGTTTGGTCAGGAGCGCCGGCAGCAGCTCTATGAGAAGGACGACATGTCGGGGGTAGGGGATAATGAGGTAGTTGGCTGCGTGGATGATTGACGGGAGGATCGTGTTTGAAAGGCCTTTTATGCTCATGTTAGTGACGGTGATCGGGAGCTGCGCAGCGGCTTAGAATGGGGTTTCGGTCCGGCCACAACGCTCGCTGTACGGAAAACTCACCCATCAACGCGAACCCCCAAAAGATCCGCGAATTATCCAACGAGCACATCCACGCGGCGGTCCGGCCCGTTTTCTTGCTCTTCGGTGCCATTGCGCCAGGGAGTCTGTCAAAGTTCCGGAAACCCTCCTTCCCTCCCTCGCATCGCGCAGGCAGGCGAGGAATCTGGGCCATCCCGCCAAGATATATATATATATATATATATATATATATACAAATAGCCACAAAGAAAGAAGGAGAAAAGCGAGGCACTGATATGGCTTCCAAATCCAATGACATCCGTCGGTCCATCGAAGCAGCGTTTACGGACCACGTGCTCCTGCCGCGGCGGCCAAGCGTGTGTGGAGCGGTCAACGGGGGCCCGGCACCGACGAATCGAATCCACCACGTGGGACGGGTTCGGCAACTGATAGGGGAGGTGGCCGCTGTCGTCACACAGCAACGCGGTACACCCATCGAATGCCGTGAGGGCCTACAGGAGGCATCGCAATGTATGACGATCATTGTGCCTTACCAATCGCCCAGGATTTCATACTTATTAGAGAGCTTCTAGGAAGCTTGTCTATTGCGAAAAAGGGGATGTGCAATACGCGTCATGCATCGTGGCACTTTCTGCCGCCCATACGTCGACGACAGTGAGCGCACCCGTCAATGGCTTCGAATTTCATTTTTCGGCGCCGGAGCTCGAGGTCCAAGGCTGGCGACCGTAACGGCCTGTTGGACGGCGATGCACAAGGCCGTTGCCGGTTCCCGGTCTCGCCATCCGAATGGCTGCGCGTTATGCTCAGGTTCATCCCGCCGGTCGTGTTCTTTGGCACTTTGGGCTATGTTCTGATGAACTGGGTAAGTCCTACAGACCCAACCCCGCCGCATCCGCGCATCGCTAATTCGATCACCGCAGTTCCCGACGGAGTTCAGACGCTTCGCGGGCGGTGGCGTCGTCGAGAGGACGATCTCGCGATCCCATCTCGCGAGCCTCCACACGCCGGGCCGTGTCGACAACGGCGGCTCCCGTCGACTCCGGCTCTTCATGCCCGCCGACGGGCCGAACGTCAACCTCTGCAAGACTATCATGTCGGCAGTCGCGCTGGGATACCCAATGCCCACCCTCCTGAACTGGAACGGCGAGTTCAACCGCCCGGACTGGCACTTTGCCGGGTCGCACATCGCGAAGCTGGAATCCCTCTTAGCGGCCATCGACGACCTGTACGAGCGAGACGACAGCGACATGAACGAGAACGACCTCGTCCTCCTCGTCGACGCCTACGACGTCTGGTTCCAGCTGCCTCCGTCCGTCCTCATCGAGCGCTTTCACCGGCTCAACCGCAAGGCCGATGCCCGCGCGGGGAAGCAGTGGGAGGGCCTGGGCCTCAAGCCCGACTTCCCCGTGGCCCCGCCCGCCCAGGAAATCATCGTCACCGCGGCCAAGGACTGCCAGCCGACATGGGAGTCGGGCTCCGACCCGCGCTACGAGTACTGGCCCGACTCGCCGCTGCCGCCCGACTTTTACGGCAACGAGACCGACCAGGTGCTGCCGTACGTCTTCGACTCGGCCCGCAAGTACAGCAAGATGCGTCCGCGGTGCGTCAACAGCGGCATGGTCATGGGCACCGTCGGGCCGCTCCGGGGCGCGCTGCGCAAGTGCAAGGGCAAGGCCGACGCGGCGGCGGCGGCCGGGCGCCAGCTCTGGAGCGACCAGGCTCTCTTGGCCGAGGTCATCGGGGACCAGGAGGTGTGGCGGCACTGGGTGCGGGGGCTGGCTGCGGCGTGGAACGGCATTGTCTCGCCGGAGCGCCCGGGGCGGCTTCCGCGGGAGGTGCGGCGCATCGCGGACGCGGCGCTGGCCGGCGAGGCGTTCGAGTTCGGCATCGGGCTGGACTACGACTTCGCGACCATCCCCCCGACGTGCTCCTCGGAGGAAGACGGGTACTTTGTCCGACTCGGCGACGCGGGGGCGGTCCGGGACGCCTCGGACAGGGCGGGGGTGCCTGGCGGCGTGCGGGTGAGCGGCGTCCCGCCCGAGCTGGGGGACGCCGCCACCGCGCAGCCACCCCCTATCCCGGGCCACACCTGGGGCGACCTGTCCCTCTACACGGACTTCTTCTTCGGCACACCGCCCGTGGGCATCCACCACAACGCCTACGTCTTCGGCCTGAAGGCGTGGCGGCTGGAGCACTGGTGGAACCTGACGCGGTTCCATCCCCACCTCCGGGGGCTGGTGACCGAGGCCCTCGCGTCCAACAGGAAGCTCACGCCGCTGGCGAGGCTCCCGTTGGATTCCGACGGTGGGAGCGAGATGGTTTACTGGGCGTCAGGAGAGGGGCCGGACGAGGCGAGCGTCAAAGTCTTTGACGGGTCCAAGGAGCGGACGGCGTATTCGTCGGTCGGGTGGGACGGCGTGTGCCAGAAGGGGGATAAGAAGTGGTACGATGTGGTATTCGCCGACGGTAAGGGGCCGTTGGCTGTTTAGATTTGGCTGCATAGACTTTTTGTTAGTTAACATGTTGTAAGCGCATACTTCCTGCCTGGATGTGAAGACGAGCTGCATGCCGCGGTGTGGACAAGACGAACGAGACCGGATCTATAGAGATTCCTCCGCTTCCTAGTTCTGGCCATGGCGGATTAACATGTTACTCTTGAGATCTCGACACCAGCATTTTGGCCCGCCCTTGTATATAGCCACGTTGAAGACGCAAATAGGCACCGCGTAACTTGATGAGCCGGTGCCAATCAACCCAAGTCAATCATGGGTCTTTTGGTGCCGTTAACTATCACTGCGTATTTTCCTCTTGGGATCCCTGGGAGGTCTATTAAGCTTGTGGACGTGTCCCTGTTGCTGACGCCGATGGTAGGGTGAAACAACAGCTCGAGCCCTCCCTCCATCGCAGGGTCATCAGGGATCTACAAGCCAGTACTACAGGATAGCTCGATATTACGCATTAAAAGTCTAGTTAGACCCGCCCGAGCCTCGCTCGCTCACTCACCCTCATGCCCTTTCACCCCCCGTACCCGCTCAGCGACACTCGGCACGGGTACCCGTCCGTGGGATGCGCCGCGCCGGCCTCGACCATGAAAATGCGCTGGCCGCCCACCCCGCTGAGGTCCATCTTTTTGCTGTCCCCGTCCAGCTCGGCGTAGCAGTCCCGGAGGTCGAACTCCCTCACCACGCACGCCAGCACGGCCTTGATCTCCGTCATGACCAGCTGCTGGCCGACGCATAACCGCGGCCCGTACTCGAACACGCGCCAGCCGCCCTTGGGCGGGTACAGCTCGTGGGCCGGGTCCGTCACCAGCCACCGCTCGGGGAGGTACTCGTCCGGGCGCGCCCAGTGCTTCGGGTTCCGCTGGACGGCCCAGTGAACGATGTTGACGGCGACGCCGTCCGTCGGGTACGCGTTGCCCTCGGCGTCGTGGAGGACCAGGTCGGCGGATCCCTGGCGGATGCCGCCGGCGGGCGGGAACATGCGCAGCGACTCCTTGACGCAGGCGGCGGTGTAGGGCAGGGAGTTGAGCAGCGCCGGGTTCGCGGCGATGCGGGCCGGGGCGGAGCGGACGTCGGCGCCGAAGATGTCGTCGTGCTCGGCGCGGACGCGGGCGAGGACGGCGGGCCGCGAGCAGATGCTGTGCAGAGAGTAGACGACGGCGGAGGCCGTCGAGTCGTAGCCGGCGAAGAAGAACATGCGCATGTTGCGGGTCATGACGCGCAGGTAGTCGGGGTCGAGCTCCTCGCGGGCGGCGTTGGCCGGCTGGGCGAGCCAGTCCTCGAGGGCGCAGTCGAGGACGGACTGGAAGGGCTCGGCCTTGCCGCGGCCGTCGGCGCGGTTCCGCAGCAGGGTGCGGAGGCGGGCGTTGATCTGGCGCTCGATGTGGCCGTCGAGCACGCGGCCGCCGTTCCAGGTGCGGAAGAGGAGGATCGGGTCGACGCGGGCTGCGAGGTTCTCGGGCTTGTGGGCGGTGAACTTGAGGCGGAGCTGGCCCTTCATGGCCTCGGCGAGCGGGTGCGGGCGGTCCTGGGTGCCGAGGCGCATGTTGAAGAGCTCCTCGCCGATGACGTCGGTGATGAGGTCGAGGACGAGCGGCTCGAGGCGGAACAGGGCGCCGTCGGCGGCGCGGGCGCGCAGGCGGCGGACGAAGACGGCGACGTTGTCGAGGATGACGGGCACGGCGGCGGTGATGTTTTGGTTGCTGAAGCTCGGGCTGAAGAGGGCGTGGAGGCGCTTCCAGGCGGGGCCGTTGGTGTCGAACTGGCTGGGCCCGCCGGTGATGGGGTGGAACCAGTCGGCCAGCATCGGGGGCTTGGCCGAGCCCGCGACGGGGTGGTAGACGGTCTGGTGGGCCATGTCCGGGTCGGTGACCACGAGCATCGGGCCGGCCATGGGCCAGTTGTCGAGGTAGAAGGCGCCCTTGTCGAAGGGCTCGCCTAGCCTGGCCACGACGTAGCTTGCGTGCGCGCCGGGCGGCAGGCTGTCAAAGGCCTTCTTGGCCTCGAGCAAGTTGCCGAAGAGGTAGTTGTGGGGGACGATGGGCTGTTGTTGGTCTTAGCGAGGGACGGGGGGACATGTGAACGGTCTGGGCCGGTCGAAGGGGAGGGGCACCCACCAGCCCTTGGCGCCTCAGCTCGGCCATCTTGCCTCGGTGCTTACTCAAGAGCATGAAGAAATAGATGGCGGAGCCGACGGCAGCCACGAGGATGGCCGTCGTGGCCGATCGCAACAAGTACGACAGGGCCCCGTCCATCATCCCGACAGCAGGCTTCACCGTTTCCGAGGAGGGTTGTCACCGGTCGGGGTTTCTCACCGGCCGCTCGAGCCACGACCGAGTCCGTGATGATGCTGCGTGTGGCCGTTGAGTCGGTCTCGGAGATGACCGGAGGAAAAGGGAAAGAGAAGAAAAATAAGGTTGAGTAGCGAGCTGATGGGACGGACGATGGGCGAAGGTTGGGATTAATAAATAAAAAAACGACCCTGACAAATGGGGTGCGCTCCGATCAGCTGAAAAGCTAATTAACCCCCCGTACGGGGCGGCGCCCGTCAGCAATTCGCACGACCCAATCCATTGGGAAACCGAGTAGCTGGGGCCAGGGGTACGGTAGATGCATGCATGCATGGCTATCATCGTTCAATAATACGCTTTTTGATTGATGCGTTGTACCGACCGCAACACCCACCACGGTTTAGGAGCGAATACTGGATGAGGAACAGCGGGCTCACTCACGTTGGCTATATACAAACAAAAGGCTGCATGATCCTTATATGAGTGTGTAAATTACTCGACTTTTCGCTTTCGCTCTGTGGCCTAGCTGGATCCTATCATAAACCTTTCTTCCAAACGACGCAAAGCTGGGGGGTATAGTATAATGCCTCCATGATGCTGCCGCCTTGTTGTTGCTGCTGCTGCTGCTGCTGCTGCTGCTGCTGCTGTTGTTGTTGTTGTTGTTGTGTGGGTGACGTAGCGTCCGTTTCATGACCCAATCCTTCCTCCTCTGCCCGAGTTGTTCCCCGATGCCTCCTTTTCTTCTTCTTTTTTTTTATATTACAATTCCCCCATATTGCTTTGCTTTGTTTCTGTGTGGTTTTCAGCAGACCATGCTCTCTTGAATCGACTAAACTCCATGCCTAAAAAAAAAAAAAAAAAAAAAAACCCGTGCCCAATACCAGAATGAACAGCCTGAAACGCTCAATGTCCTGCTCAGTGACCAAAAAGAGCAACAAACGCCTGCGAGTTGTCATGCTTTTAACGTCCTTCCCGGATTTCCATCCCAAGGAAGGAAAAGAAGAAGAAAGAAAATCAATCTCAAGCTGTAGCGAGAGTATGCTTTTGAGGGTTTGTTCTGTGCTCCCCTACATTGGCACACCGCCGGCGAGTCCGACGGCGACGGAAGAGGTGAGGAATTCCATGTCATTATGGTCCTGCCTGCAACCCTTTGGCGACTTGCCCTTGGCGAACCCATGGCTGTACGCTTCGCCCAGAACGCTCATGTCCATCGAGGGCATCTCGGGCCGGCCTTCTCTGCGGACGACAACCAAGGACGAGCTGCGCGACATCCTCCACACCTCGTCGCCGACCCGGGTCCGGTTGGACACCAGCACGAGAGCGCCGTGGTCCTGGGTGAGGGCCAGCCGGCGGCTCTTATCCTCGACAAAGGTCTCGAGGAAGTTGACCCCCATCTCGGACGTGGTCGCGAGGGCCCCTCTACCGGACATGGCGTCGGTGAGCAGATTCCTGTCGTCGAGGGCCCAGAATTGGCGGAACGACTCGGGATCCTGGCCGGCGACGACGGCCTGCTCTAAGTCGCCTTGGCCGGCCAAGCCGTTGAGGACGGGGCCGAGGAACCTTTGGAAGGACTGGACGGTTTCGTCCCGGGTGAAGCCTTGGGGGTGCCTGTCGGTGGTGGTCTTGTCAAGGGCGTCGCCAGAAAGCGTCCGCATGAGAGCGTTCATGTGACATTCTTCGTCCGGGCTTGGCGAACGCATCTTGTAGACGAGCGACAGGAGCTTGACCAGCGGCAAGAGATCCTTCATGTGTCCCAGCTCCTCGGAGATGGCGACGACGGTGTCGACGTAGGACCCGCCCAGCTGCACTTCTTCTGACTGGAAGTTGTCGACGGGCATATTTCGGCCGAGTGGGAGGTTCATTGTTGGCTACAGTACCCGGATGTGTATGATTTTGGTGCAATCAAGGGAAGAGCTTACAGGAGAGGACAAGAGAGCAATGTGGAAGTGTCGATGGCGCGGGTGAGACATGTATCAATACCAACAGAATAGTGGCAGGCCAATCTGTCGTCACCATCCGCACTGGCGGGGCCCTAGTGGCCTTATATAACCAAGACCTGATGCATGTTTCCCCGGTCCGGGGAGACCATAGGTAGTTGGTTGGGTTGCGTAAACGAGCGGGTCTATGAACTCGGAGAGGGCATGATGAGCGGGTTGGCATGGACTGGACTGGACTGGGTGCCGGGGGGGCTGACGGGGTCAAGGTGGCCACGATGTCATTCCCATGGAGACGGCGAAAGCTTGATTGATCTAGGGGTACAACGGACTCGTAGGTAGAAAGCATGTTCGGAGAAGAATGCAGGGTGCAAGTTGCAGAATGCTGGATGGTTCATGTTAGGGATGGGATCTGGGATTAGGTTGCTTGGCAGTGGGAACACGAGGGATAGAGAGAGAGAGAGAGAGAGAGAGAGTACGGTTAGAGAGGGATGGAGGAGGACGAGGAAGCAAAAAAAAAAAAAAAAAAAAAAAAACAGTCTGGCAGATGACGTTGAGTTTGGACCCGCTTTTAAATGGTCCCCTGGACTGTGTTTAGCTCAGGGTCTGCTCGTCCAATGTTTCGGACCGCAACACCTTTACACACCTCCAAACTCGGCCGGAAACTTTTTTGTGCCGTTTGTTGTGCGATCTGGAACACTAGCATCCCCTGTTATCGGACTAGAGGCTAACTTCAGTCAGTCGTTATCTTCCCCTCCCGAAGGTCGGAAATGCATGCATGCACTAGGTTTCCGGCGCTGCGACTCTCAAGAACACATTGGCTTGTTGGTGTTCAAAGGACCCTTGAACAGAGTTTGGCCCTGATGTCAGCTTGTCTCTCCCTCCCTCCCTCCCTCTCTCTCTCTCTGACAAACAGGCACCAGCAACAATCAACCTGAGACGGCCTGGCCCCTCGACTAGTTGAACGCGTAATGTTTCGTACCATCTCGCCGGCGTAATCCCAACCTCGTCGTCACTACCCCAGATATCCACAATTGCTACAGGGAAACATCGACTTTGTACAATGATCAAAGTCCTCATCATCATGGCCGACTACGGCCACGACCCCACAGGTATCTGTCACTGTCACATCGACCCTCCGTGGTCCTGTCGTGCACTACCAAGACCACCCTCCCATCAACCTCTTGCTCGATGAAAGAAGGCTCCGCCCGTCTCCGCTGATTCCAAAGCTAATCTCCTCGTTTGCCTCACAGAGGTCGCAGTCCCCTACCAGGCTTTCAAAGATGCAGGATTCCACGTAAACTTTGCGACCGAAACAGGCAACCCACCCCGCTGCGATAGCCGGATGCTCGAGGGCATCTCCCAAAAATTCCTGGTATGCTTGCTTGCTTCTCCCCCCCTCCGCCGTGAAAGACGGAAATAGCATCATCGTACATCAATGGTCCGCCACAATTCCGATGCGGTGCGACGTGATGCGTGCGATATGCGTTTGCCAATGCCATTGCCGGCAAAGTCAAGATGGACATGGAACAAACAAAGCTAACGTGTCGCTTTCCAGGGTGCTGCAGCTTCCGTCTTGAAGATCTACGATGCTATGACCAAGTCCCCGGAAATGCAGAACCCGCTCTCTTGGTCCTCCCCCGGCTTCACCCTCAACCACTTCGACGTCGTGCACATACCCGGGGGCCATGACAAGGAAGTCAGGCAGCTCCTGGACTCGGCCTCTGCTCAGAAACTCCTTGCCGACCACTTCCCCAAGACCAAGAAGCCCGGCCGCAAGGTCGTCTCCTCCATCTGCCACGGCCCGCTGCTGCTCTGCAACACCAAGGGCGAGGACGGCAACAGCGTCCTCTACCATTGCAATACGACTGCCCTCCCCGCCTTCTTCGAGGCGTCGGCCTATCACGGTACCAGGCTGTTTCTGGGCGAGTACTACAAGACGTACGGCGCCGGCTCGGAAAACGTCGAGACCGAGGTGCGTGGTATCCGACACACGATCCCGGCCCGTGTCGCTCGCTACCAGCGCCGAAACTAACCTCGACCTCGCTTTAGATGCGCAAAGCACTCAAGGATCCCAGCCAATTCAAGAGCAGTTGGTTGCCCAACAAACCGTTCGTTTCTCCGTTCTACCTTCGGATAATCTCCGTCACTCACATAATTCTCCCCCAGTTTTGTCGTAGAAGACACCGAGTACAATTACGTCAGCGCCCGGTTCCCCCCCGACGCGGCAAAGATGGCTGAGATGACAGTCAACCTGGCCCACCTGGTCCAAAGCTTCGAGGATAATGAGTCAGTTGGCGCACAGTCGCAGCACTAAACCTTCTTGACGCGCGTTTCGCCTCTGGGAGATTTCTCTCCGGGATGTCTCTCTCAGGGAGCTCGCAGATAATTAATAGTCCGAGAACCGACTGCGGTGTTTTATGAACTGCCCGTTGTTTCCACTATATAGGACAGCCCACGACCGGAAGGGGGGTCACGCGCCAGAATTTAGACACAGCGCATAAGCTCTTACAGCGTGTGTGTGGTCCAGAACGAACCGGTTTCTCTGGACATCGCCACAATGACATCTTCCCGTGGGTGAAAGCAAATCCAATGGACAGCTGGCGTAGTTAAGCTTAACAACATGTTCTTTTCTAGTTTGGTGGACCCCCCCCCCCCCCCCCCATCCAGCATCATGCTGGACGGACCAGCGTCTTCTCCTCGTAGCATTGGATTGTCGTCACGAACCTTTTGAGGATCAAACGACCCTGCACCTCGCTAGCTTCGTGACTTGGACAGCCCCACGATTCTTTGGATGGCCTTGTCGACGCCCGTGGCAACGATCGTCGGCTCCCTGTCAATCATGCTGCCCAGGGCGTCAACCCACCCCGTGCCGCCCCTATCGATCCATGCTGACTGCCACCCGGCCGCCCTCGCGCCCAGGGCGTCGAACGGGTTCGAGCTGACGAGCCAAATCTCACTCTCCCTGCCAGACATGCCGGCCCTCTCCGCAAAGTAGCCGTACGTCCGCGGGTCGGGCTTGAAACACCGCACCTCCTCGACCGTGACCAGCTTTGCCGGGCCAAACGTGCTGCTCATCCGCGACAGCGCCGGCGACGTCCTCATCGACGCGCCCACCATGTCGTCGGTGCCGTTGGAGAAGACGTAGGCGTCGACGGACCCGTCGCCCTCGACGACGGCCATGGCCGCCCCGACGTCGGGGAACGCCTCCAGCCCGTTGTAGGCCTCCATGAGGCGCCCCTCGTCGTCCGCGGAAAGCTCCAGCTTCTTCTCGGCGACGGCGTGCCTCAGCGCCGCGCGCGTCAGCTCCGAGAACGGGCGATAGGTGCCTGCAATCTCAATAAATCTCAGCCGCAAAGCTTTCTTTGCGCGTGGGGGAAGGGGGGAGGAGGCAAGGAGAACCATGGCCAGGTCACGGCCGACGAACCCATACTGTTGATGCGCCACGTGTATTCCAGCTGATACCTGCGCCACTGCGCCGCGAGGGCCGGGGCGTTCTCGTCGCCGTACACCGCCGCCAACTCCTTGGCGACGGACTCGGTCGACAGCAGCGTGCCGTATAAGTCAAACGCGATGACTGTCTTGGGCTTATTCTGCGCCATTGTATTGGCCCGTTCTTCCGTTTCGTCTCTTACGGAATCCTGTTCGCTTTGCCAGTGAATTAATGGGAAGGGGAGCGCTCCCGTCTTCGAACAGCGCCGAATACTCTCTCGACTTCGCCGGATATGTCACGACAGCAGAAGCGTGTCGTCCGAATGTCTTTTGCGGGGAAAGCTTTGTTCGCGCCACTGCCTACATCACTAAAACGTGGGGGAGGCAGGAAGTGTAGGGCACTTATAAGCCCCCACAGATAGGCACTAGAGTACCGTAAACGTCAACCGTCGACCCAACGTCATCGATCGTCATCTGGAGTCGCCTTGACAAGAATTCCCGTCTCACCGCTCACAACTCGCAATCAAATCCTCCACCACCACCATCATGCGTGGATCCGACGAAGAGACGGCCCAATTCGAGACGTTTAGAGACTGCCTATCGACCGCCGTCGTCGAGCGCGTGACAAAACCCACGCCGAAACCGAAACGCCGCTCCAAAAAGGCGAACCCGAAGTCCCACGCCGCCACCGGGTCCGAGAATGGAGCCCCCTCGTACGCCGCGACCGCCGGCGACGGCCCAATGGATGCCGACGACATGATGGACTTCGCCTCCTACCTCGCCTCCGAGGCCTTCGAGGCCTTCCCCCCGGACCTCCGGACCCTCACCCACACCGCCTACACCGCCGACCCGTCCTTGCGGTCCCGCTACGCCCCACCCCTCACGGGCTCCGACGTCGCCGACATCCTGCCGACCCTGTCCCCCGACGTCGCTGACTCGCTGGCGGCGTACGGCATCGTCGACCCGGACAGGCAGGGCGCGCACGAGTTCCTGGCGCCTGTGCTGGGCGAGTACGTCACGGCCCTGACCGCCGCCCCGCCGCCGCCCCGGTCGACGCGGGAGCAGGCCGAGGGGTGTGAGCTGTGCGGTCGGGATTGGATTAATTTGACGTACCACCACCTCATCCCGCGCATGGTCCACGCCAAGGCCGTCAAGCGCGGCTGGCGCCGCGAGGACGAGCTCAACAACGTCGCCTGGCTGTGCCGCCTGTGCCACTCCTTTGTGCACCGGTTCGCCGGCCACGAGGACCTCGCGCGGCACTACCACACCGTCGAGCTCTTGCTGGCGCAGGACGAGGTCGTCAGGTTCGCGCAGTACGCCAGCCGGGTGAGGTGGAAGGGGAGGTAAAGGCGCCTCGTCTGGATGGAGTCCAATGAGACTGTATTGGTTCTTGATGCGGACCGGCGTCCAAAGCTACACGAATCAGCCAAGCTCGCCCCATTTCTCTGCATTTACAGGTTCCAGTACCGAGCGTCGTTCTCGGTAGGTAGGCACGCTGGAAAATAATTCAATATCTAATACCATGCCAGCGTGGCTACATCTTACACCACCCCGTTGTGGGCCGTTGATTGCTGAGTTCCATCCCTTTCCTTCTCCCATTTCAGTCTGTGTAGGAATATGTCCCGTCATCACTACTTTTACGCACAATTGCACTGTATAGGCGGGCAAATGTATTAGTGTACAAGAACACTTCTGGAAACACCATACAACACTCGATCAACTCGACGGTAGACGGTTAACCCCACGCCGCTTGCAGTGATATGTTGGCCTTGTCACTATTGAGAGCATGTGTAAGTTGTGTGAGATGATCAGGACAGAGTCGCTTATGTTCATTTGCAATCAAATGGAAAAGAAGGCGCGTATATGTAAGTGTCGTAGAGGGACTTGACACAACTAGTACTAGGAGCTCGAAATAAGTAACGGTCTCGGGACAATAGCCAAAGAGAAATTCCCCAAACGTCCTAGAGGGCCATATTCCTGATATTCCCAATTGGAGCCGGCCTGCAGCCGTGCCCTCGGGGGCTATAGACTGTACCTGACTTCAACGCGGCCGTATTCTCGTTCCCCACCGACACCGTTGTTATCTGATTTCATTAGCAATATTCATCAAGACTTCCTACTGCTGTGTTCCGCTACACTCGCCTAGCTGTCCGCCGCTACCCTCTGAGCCTGCAGTAGAAAGTCAGTATGCAAAGCCGTGCCGCGTAACAGTGAAAGCGTACAGCCCATTGGCATGTCATTCCACCCGGCAGTCTTGCAGTACCGCCGGTTCCCTTCATGCCAGAATTCGCTCCATTCCATCAATGGGGCAGTCGGGTACACCCTCTGTTCCGAGACAACTTCCGCGATGCAGTTTTCGGGCCACTCGACGGATAGCTTGTACGGCGACTTGCCGCCTTGGTAGGCCGAGTTATCCCACTTTTGTCCCAGCCGGAGCTCGCAGAGCTCGTACAGCCTATCGCAAGCCGAATCCTCCGCTTCTTTGAGCCCCTTATCGCCCTTGGATACCTTCTTGTGTCCGGGAAAGTCGGACTCGGCGTAACACTTCAGGTCTCTTACCTTCTTTGGCTTCGTCTCCGTCTTCGGCGCCGCCCGAGGTGGGATGATGATCCAGGCGTACGTGCCACAACCGTCCATTCAGGAGCCCTCCCTCACCATCTCGTTGCATTGGCGACCGTAGTTGCCGCCTGTGAGCACATGTGGTTAGCCCGGGTCCCTCCATGCGTGCGCCAGGGGGACCTGACGGGCGAGCGGCTTACTGGACTGCTTGTTTCCATTGATGTCAGCAATCCACGACAATGTGGATTTGGGGTTCTTTTCGACCTCCTGACAGAACTGCCCGGTGACGCTGTGCTTCTTGCCCGCGAAGATTGTCCAGGGTAGGCCAGCGGGCTCGTTCTTGGAGCAGCTGAGCGTCGGGTCTACTGGAACAGTCTTCTCCCGGTCACGGAGATCGAACTCCATGATGATCTTTTTCTATTTCAAACATCTCCTCCAACCCGTATCTTGCGATGATTGTGGGTCTAGCTTGGCTGTCGCAACACTTGAATTTTATCTCTTGCGGGGTGTAATGCGTGTCAACTATGTGGTCTGCGAGTGGTTGAATTGGTCTCGTGATCGTGGGGGGCACTCGCCTTGGTGCATTTGAACTGAGACTCGGGAGACCCTACGCACTCATGGTGAATGCATTCAGACTAGACGTATCAATGATCCACACCGTGTGCGGTTCAGAACGTGTTTACCAGGGAAAACTTACCCAGTCTTCAGTCTTCAAAGTCTTTTGGACAAGTGTTCATGTCCTGGTTTGGCTGCTGAAGCTTGTATTTGAGAACCGGCTCGGGGTCCGGCACTTCAGACTTGTAGGGGACATCCGCTTTGGACGCGTGAAGGAACATTCCGAGCAATATCGAAACGAGGCCTCCCACGATGACCGTTTCCGGGTTCACCTCGACCACCATAACCTCCAAGAATTCCCGGGCCACTTCCACGTCACCAACCACGGCCACGTTGCCCTGAGCAGCCAGATCGGCTGTGTTGATGCCTCCTACCCTGACCAGCTGCTGGCTGCCTTGCCGCAGCTCCTGCATGAGGCTTTCGTTATGGCCCAGCCTCTGGGCAACTCGATTGACTTGCCGCTGTCTGCAAACCCCCACGTCTGGCGTTTGTCGACGGAGCCGGAGGGGACAGAGGGCCTCCTTTGAGACATCCTTGAAGATTTACGACAGCTGCTCGCGGAACCATTTGCTCAGAGCCATCTTGATCTTTCCCTGGTCGTTTTTGGATATCTTCAAGCCCTGTTTCTCCGGCTCGCCGGTTGCCCCTAGTGCAGGGGGCTCGGTGGACCAATCGACTATGGAAGTATGTCAGTGATTATTTTTCTGGTGGCATCCAAAACAAGTTTACCTTGGCGGATGTTCCATCTTGGGTAAAATACTTGGTGTCGACGCCAATGAGAATAGACCTGCGACAACAACTTGTTGTCTTCATATATTGACGTGAATGGGCAAACTTGTCCGGTTTACGTCGAAGCGGGTGTTGTTATATGCACTGGATTGATCCCAATCTGTCCAGAGACAGTAGGAGTGATGACAGCAACTTGAACATCCCCAACCGCTGTCAGCGTTGCGTTGGCCGGAATTTGAGCATTAGCTAGGGCGCCAGGAAGGGTAGAAGACAAGGGCAGAGGAAGCAGTGTCAAAACCATGATGAAATGAGAGCCAACAATCCGCATGTTGTTCCTTGCAAGAAAGGGCTTTGTGGTGCAATATTGCCCATGGAAGACTTGACACCCACAATGGGGGCCAGGATGTAGGCATTTCATCGGTTTCGGGGGGGGGGGGGGGGGGGGGAGTATGTGACGGTGACAACGGGTAATTTCTCTGGAACTGTCGTTTATCGCCAAGACACCATAATATCTGAGTATAAAAGTTCGAGTGTTCCTTTCGTGATGATGAGGCCATGTCTATATATCTTCAGTCTTCCTACACACATCATACCCAGTCATTCAGTCACTGCTCGAAATTATTCTCACTTTTTTCCTCTTCGCTCTTCTGCGACCTGTCTTAGGATTAAACCGATATGTCATTGACGAGACATGAGAGTCAATCTGAATTATACTCGTGCGAAGAAACGCTTACTTTGTGAGTTGAAGAGAGATTCGCCAAAGTGGCAGTCATGACGCGTGTAGATATCGGTCCCTTTAGCAACCAATGGGACTCGGCTAGCAACTGGGACGACTCGGTAAGTAGACGATCTCTGGCAAAGTTTACGAATCAAGGTAGAACATGGCTAAAACTACTTGTTCTGGGTCATTCTTTGCGACACAAACCACTTCGTCAAGCAAGACTCGGACGCGAAATCCCCGTACAGATGCCACTTTAGCCGCTCCGGAATTACTGAAGGCGATAGCTCCTACAAATCGATAAAGGGGAAGGACACGAATCCAGAAGCGGTAACTATCAGTTGGAGAGACTCTGATCTTGGTAAGGTTAAGACAAGTCAAGTGGAAATGATCAAAAGATATGCATCCACGATCACGCTCAACCCTCGCTTCATTGACAGCATTCGCAAGGCCGGCTGGAATAGATTCAACAAGGAGCGTAGCCAGAAAGCGATGAGTCCTGACCTAGCAGAAAAGGTGGGCAAGGGCCTAGAGAACTTTTCGAACCTGTTCTTCAAGGCTTTTGGTACGACTACAGAGTTCCGTTCGGATGTAGATATTCTTTCGACACTCGAGGTTACCGTTCTACACGAGGTAAGAGGATCAACCGCCCCACTCCGAGTCTTGAGCACATTGTCTCCCGCTTAGTTGATGCACACGCGAGCCGGAGAGCATGCCGACGACGCACCTTTCGGGAAGTGTTACCTGTGGGACAACATCCTGAAAGCCAAGAATGAGAATAACGCAGGTATTGCGGTCTCCCCTCCCTCCTCTCTTTAAACCCAAGATACCTACTTACATACGCGATTACAGAAAGCCTCGCTTACTTGGCTATGATCATCCAGCTAATCAACAACTTCAAGCTTCACGTTACCCAAGCAGGCAAGGTCATCGGGATTGGAAGCTGAAGGGTTCGGGCGCTCCGACACGGGGGGGAAGCAGGGTCCGGAACCCCAGATGAGCTATTGAAGGAGTTGGTGTAGGAACCGTTGGAAGATAGTCATACGGCGTGTCGCGTGGTTGTATTGGTGTGCGATCCCTATTTCGTATCCCACGTAAGTGGGACACACCTCAATCCTCGGCTCGCGGCCTGGGTCAACCCATATCAGGGACCAGTCGCGCCCACGGATCCATGTAGGGCTGACCACGCCGTTGTTTTCGAGACCTTGGGTGTTTTCGCTGAGAATCGACACCGTCTTCAGCAGAGGAACTAGCCTCTCATCTGTCTCCCAGAGCCGGTATCGGTTGTGGACAGGATCGCATCGAGCGTCAAGGTAGGCGGTATCCAGCCAGATGCCCACACGCCGGAGGCTTTTGAGCTCTGGCAGGCCTTGGCAGAGTGCGTTGAAGTCCGAGGGGCTACCGTGCCAGCTACCGCGGGCCTTTACCCTGCGGCGTGTCCATCTCGATACGGATGTTGAGCGAGAGACTCAAGCTGGTGATCTCGTTGACGATGGGAGAGCCCCGGACGAGGAGGAAATCGGATGCCGTCTCCACGCGGTGGAAGACGAAGCTCAGTTCCTCGTATATGATGTCGCGATATTTCAGGTACCTATTGATGCACATTAGATGGAAATCCACGAGGCACAGCCGTTCGAGGTGCGGGTATCATCGAAGTAGATAAAAGTCCTTGTCCTGGCATGACCAAACAGGCGCTGGGTACTCACATTATCTTGCAAGCAAGGAGAACAGACAGAAACGGCGTCGGCTCTCTTGTCGACCCATCGATCTCGGCCATTGCATCCTCCTCGCACCTCTAATGACAGTTCCACGACGACAAAAGCCGGCGAGCCCGGACTGGGTGGTTGATCGTCGGAGCTCCGCCCATCAAGCGCCGCAACTCCACCTGCCGCTCGTCCGGCCCGCCCTCGTCCTCGCCGACGACACAACGGGTGTGGGTGTACCGCCCGTCGGCGACGGATATGTGCTGCCTGAGGCAGTTCTGGAGTTGGCGCCGAAGGGATTCCATCGTGATTCTTGCCTACTGGTGCAAACCGCTGCTCTCGTAAGTCGGCTGTGTGAAGAAGATGATTCGAACCGAGGAGATGGGGCGCCTTGTTATTGTCTGCCGCGGTCGTGGAAACGACGGAGGGTAAACCGATTTCCGGCCCCCATGCTTGCTGTTGGTTCTGCCTCGCTGCGCCGCCCCCCGCGCGCACGCATGTTTATAGCCGCCAACTGGCCTTGACCTCTCCCAACGGCCGCCCCCAATACTCAACTTGGGCTGGGAGTCGTTTTTGCTCCATGTAGTGACGTACGACTGCGCCCTAGTCAACCAGTGATGTTGGAAATTGCCAGCCATGCATAGGTTTCGTTGGAACCGATCTACACCTGCTAACGACTTGCATATGATACAGGGCCAGTGGGATATTGTAGTACAAGCATCTCAAAAAACAATTAGTGAGCGAGCGATACATATGAACAATGTGCAACACGGGGGATCTTGAAAATATCTCCTCCCCGTCCCCTTATCTTCTCCCTTTTTTTTCCCTGTATCCTCCAATCCTTGTCTGAACGCCGTGCCCCTATGGTATAGTGAGAAGAAATGATAGAAGAAAGAAATTACAGGCCATATGGCTGCAAGGTTGGAAAGCAAAGTTCGAAAAATCGAAATCAAAAGGGTATATCCGTTCCTTTCGTCGTCGTCCTGTTTCCTCCGTCGGCGGCGGCGGAACACTCTTGTTCCTCACCGTCTCCTCTCGCGCTTTCGCTCCCACGCGTTGTCCACGTCCCCGACGATGTCCGACTCCTCGATCTCGATCCGCGGTGGGGTCATTCTTGACGACGAGGCGAGTGGCGGACTGCTCGGCCCAATACTCTCCTGGCTGCCTTGTTTCGTATGCCCCAGCAGCGCTTCCCTGTCTCCGCGGTCATGCGCGTCGTCCTCGTCCATCTCAGGCACCGCGACCAGTACATGGGAGCTGCCCCAACTCGGCACGCGGTCAACGTTCTCTCGCGTGACGACCTTGCCGTTCGTTACGTATCCGCTGCCGACATAGCTGTCGCTGCGGCTGAGGTTGTCGCTGCCGGGGCTGGTGAACCATCCAAACTCTCTGGTCATGGCACGTTCGACCAAGTATCTGTCGAATTGTGTGTCACGCTCGTTATTGTACTGCAAAGGTGCGCGCTGAATGGGGCTCAGGTCGGGCCGTTGTTGCTGCGCTGTTTGCTGCATTTGTTCCTGGGCCTGGAGGCCGGGGATGCTCTTCATGGATGACGTGGATATACGGCGGAGGGAGCGGTCGCCGAGGGTGAGGCCGCCGATGGAGAGGCGGCCGTTGTAGGCTGCCTCGCCTTCGAGGTCGTTGAAGCCGTAGGGCTTGTGATTGACAGGGTAGTGGTAGTCATCGAACTTGGTGAGCCGGCGGTAGGTTTGGATGGAGTAGATACCGGGGATGGCGATGAGAACGCTGTAGACTGTTAATTATACTCGCCGCGAGACGAGCCACGGGAGGTCCGATGACTTACAGGAGGAAGCAGTTCAACCCGAGTCCAACCACCGAGTAGTGACTGTCCTTCCTTTGCAATAAGACGACAATATCCAGGGCCAGAGTCGCCAGGGAGCAGACGATCTTCAGGACATGGGTGAATAGCATGGTCCATGGTGTCAAGGTCTCGGCGGCGAGCTTGGATACTTCGTACACGGTGGAGATGAGGCAAACGAGGGAGAAACCGATGTTGACGGCTTCCCATCTATACACTCGGATCAGCGCCCGTACCTTGTCGACAGGCAAACACAGGCCTATACTTACACGACCTCGACAAGTGGGAACATGCCCTTTGTTTGCTCTTCCGTCTCCCAGTTCTTCAGAGTGTCGGACAGGCGCCACGAAAACAGACCGATGTCGACGAGGAGGACAAGCAGCTGCAGGATCCAAAGGGGAACGAGCAAAGCCATGCGCCATCTGGCCCGGTCGAACTGGGCTTGTTGGCGATGCAGAACCATGTTAGGATCGATGATGGAAGGATGATTTTCCTGAGAGGGTCGGTGATTTTAACCGTTGATGTTGTTTGAGGCTGAGAGGGATCAAAGTTCTGGACACAAGGCGACCCTCGGGAGTTATAAGCAGAAGGAGGGAGTCTAAGACAGACAAACAAAACATTGACGGCAGGAGGCGTTTAGTCGCAGCTGGGCCCAACAATCGCGGGGAGTGAGGCTATGATGAGGCATTCCTGGGCTGTCAGAACTGTATTGGGCGAAAGTGATTGCAATTGCTATATATAAAACCATACCCAGGCAGCCGGAACGACTGAGTTGAGTCTGTAAAAGGATCCCCCTCGCGGCTAGGCTGCAGCATACCGAAGGGCACCAAGCCCCCGTGAAGGAATTGCCGCTCAGTCTTGCCTCCGGGCGGATTGGCTGAGCTGGGGTACTCGAGAATCGCTCTGTGGATTGTTCAAAAGCGGTGAGTCTAATGAACAGCCACAATTGTGTGATTGGGCAGACACGTCCAGATTATCGCAACAAAATGCCCCCGCCAGCCGAGCCCAGCCCACATGGAGGACGTGATGAAGCCCGGGAGGGGGCGGGCTGAAGGAGTGGCGAGAACAACGGGATACTTTTGTTAGCCAACTGCTGATAGTTGGGAGCCTGATCGGCAAGCTAGGGGTCTCAGATAATGGAGGAAATTAACATATCTCATCAGTTATCCCACCGACGCCAGGGCGGCTCCCTTCAGTCATCTTTGACGGAATGGTGTGCACTTTCGCCGAACAACGGAATGCTGTCCGGACTACTGCGATGGGTCGGATGGCGTTTGCGGCTGAGATCTGGGCGTGCAGCACCAGTTCGACCAGCCAAGCGGCTGGGGTCATCGGTTCTCCAGAGAGTGGTAAATAAACGCGGGCTTTCGCAGCGCTGGCTGCAAAGGAACTTTGGCGACAAGCGATCCGCAACTGTCAGACAAACGTCTGCGCAAACTCCACAGCCTGCGCAACGTGCGGCTCTCTCTGGCCGGGTGGAGGGTCGAGCAGATCGGGGATTGACTGTAGCAAGCCTGGTCATCTCGCTAGGCGCTTGTCTTCTTCCTTCAGGATCTGTTGTTGGAGGGGTTGAGACGCGCTTGTGGTGGCTGCGCAAAGCAGAACGAATCAAAAGGCGGTCCGCCTGTGAATATCCACTGCCCCGAAAGTCATTTCGAAATTATGTCAACTTGTGGCACAGGCAGCCAAATTGTCTGTCTCTACGGGTGTTAGCCTGAAGGTTGTGACCCCTTGGAAGACGGCACGCAAGTGGAGGGAGAGGAGCGGGCTCCGCGGTAAGTCGCCTGGGTTTTGTTGGTCTGTTTGATGATGTGGTGTGGTTTCTTTGGTTCCCAGGTTTCTCCAGGAACAACAAGGCATACTCAGCAGGGCTGGCATGGATGGAGGAGGATCCGGTCTAGTTGGAGACTAATTTGAGAGTCTCACCGCTGACGCCAGGGACGAGAGATGACTGTCTGGCTGATCTTGCATGCAGCATCATGGCTATGACCGATCAAGGCTGCATGCAGCCGCAACTGGATGAAGGGGAATTTGCGCGAGTTTTCATTTCGAAAGTGTGCTGCTAGGTGAGTGATGGTCGGAAAGGTGAGATGTTGTTGTCGTGAGGTCAGAGTAGTTGGATCGGCTACGACGAGCTTAATTGAGGTTGACATCGGCTGCAGACAGCGACCACGTAACACGGAACAAGTACCCACCCATCCATTGGAACAGCCTGCAGCACTTAGCATTGCATGACATGGCATTGAACAGGGAAGGCAGAGAGAGACCACCGCTGTTGGCTGTGGGTACGGTAATAGAGGCAACTAGGCTGCCAGCTGGTGTGCATAAAGGCAAGTGCATAGCGAGTGATTCCGCTATGCACAGACCTGTTTCGATAAGTACTGTATATGTACATAGTTATTTGGCAAGGGTATCTAGATATCCGTACCGGGACGGAATACCTCGGACCGCTAGCACCTGTCAAAGACACCAGATGAGTGCACCGTACAAATCGGACAGTATGCTTGACTAAGCACAGTATAGAAGTGGTGGGGCGGCTTCTCCTCGCTGCGTCTGTGCCTTTTCCAAGCCATATGCCATTGTATCTGTAGAGTAGACCAGGGTTTTTTCAGCGCTGTCCTCGACGAGGTTCCAGGCTTTGCTGTCGAGGCACAAGTGATAGCCCACCACCTAGGGAGGGCTTTCTGCGCAGCGAGAATCGATTATGCTGCCACGCACTCATACCTACACTCGTTGATGGCTAGGATGGCACTGAGAAGTCTCTCCTCTCTCTGTTGCACCATCGACATGCGTTATCTATTTTTCCGTGATCCATCTGTCATGTCAGCCACAATCACGGTCAACTCGCCAGCATCAGTGTCATCGTTACTTGACTTCCGTCGGGGCGACGATTGTGTACCGTCCACTGGTCGTCAGAGTTTAGCCTCAACACTATTGAAACATCAGCCCAAACTCTATTGAACCACATCCGATTGACACCTCTTGGCGGATTCCAAATTTTCGGTTTGGAGCGCTTCAAACGGAAAAACAAAACCAAGATGCCCATAGTATGTCCCGGCTAGCGACTGGCTGGCTATGTGTGGGTTTCAACACGGGCAGCGTGTCGACCTCATAGACGCTGGAAAATTGAGAATCCCTCAAAGGACTCGGGACCCCGACCACAGGCCAGCTACGTGACCGGGGGCCCCGGGTTACCAAGCGGAGCTGCTGCAAAACAGGATGTTTGGGGCTCGCTTCGGAACATGAAGCGTGGCTGAGCGAACAGACGAAGACCCAAACCAAAGACTCGTCTTGGTGTCCCAGCCGTCTGAGGCGAGCTGTGACCCCTGCCTGGGGTAAAACTTGGCACGTTTAAGCTTACAAGCACATTCTTGCCGGTCTCTCTCAGCCGGTCAGAAAAAAGCGACTAACCGCTACCCCCTCCCCTTCCGTTTCCGTAAGGGTTCGAGGATCGTCTGTCAGTTTGCATCACCGAGACGGTTTGACGCATTGAATGATTTGCATCATGCTCAATGCGCACCTCACCGCAACCCTTGGTAAATGATGGAATTGTGAACGACTTTCTCGAGAGGGAAAAACGAAGGGGAAAAAAAAAAGGCTAGCTAGCGGCCAAGCAACTGAATGCTTGCCGACTGCCTGTCATGGTATATTCATAATTATCTGCCACAGTGGGCGATGCTGTCACCCAAATCCACTGATTCTGGTCCCAGATCGAAAGAGGATGGGGAAAAAAAAGCCAAATCGTTTTGATTGATTTGCCATGGTGCCTAGAGTCGCCCTGTAATAACCCAATCCTCCCGCTACTGCCACCAGATTATGGGTTTATGGGCATTTATAATGTTGCGTAAATGTGTTTGCGGGTCTTGTATCTACCCGCCGAGTCCTCCCATCCTAGCATTTCCGGTGGTCTCGTCCTCTACATCGGAAAAAAGTATCGTTTTTGTCGTTTAGAGACCGGCGTCCTTGTTGGCCTGGTAGACACCGGCAGCGTCAAAGGGAATGATTTCGCCGTTGGCGTTCGTCATGGCGGCGTCCTCAGTCGCGACGGCACCCTGACGCTTGGCCATCACTGATTGCAACACGTTAGTATACTCTCCTCTCTCTCTCTCTCTCTCTCTCTCTCTCTCTCTCTCCCCCTCTACTCCTGGATGGCAACATACTATCGGAGGGAGCGGCAGCAACAAAGGCGGCAGCGACGGCAAGCAGGGTGAAGATGGAGTACTGCATTTTGGCGGTGGAAGAGACTTTGGCTTTGGAAATCGAAACGAGTGGTCGGCCGGCGACAAGCGAATAAGTTGTACAAGAATAGAAAGTTGTTGGTGAAAGGTTTAAAGTTGGTTCTGTGAGTGTTGACAAGAAGGAAACGGAACAAGAGGAAGGAGATACAGCTATTTGTATATCATCTAGAAGCCCACGTAGACACCCTGGTGGGGGCGGCGGCTGAACATCAGACGGCACTCTGTGCCGAGTATCCCCATCGATACCATACATCGTAATGACACGCTGTAGGGGAGGTAGCATCGATGTTGCAACGGACGGCATTCCATAGCCGCTCTCAGGGCTGCCATCAAATCTTCGACCGGGTGTCAACTACGAGGCCGTGCTTTCCGTGACAGCATTTGGGATCAGCGGCTCGGACGACCTCATGCCCGGTTCCATCCCTGGCTGATGGCGTGGCCGCAGTCTCTATGCCCTGGCCAACCTTGGAGGAGCAGAGTGGCAGCCGTAGGCAATCTGTCTCGACAGGATACACTACGAGTCAGTACACGTGTAGAGGAAGAAGCAAGGGTCCTCCCGGCGTGTCATCTACAATAACAGGAACCAGGCCAAGACATCGAACGGTAGAGTTAAGGAATCCATGGACCCAGGGCTAGCCCCCTCCCCGTCCTCTTCTCTGGCCCTTTCCCCAGCACCCCAAGTCCAGCTCGTCCCGTCTTGGCGCCGGTTTTTCTTTCAAGCCCACGCCAGGGAAGTGGACTGGAGATCGGCATTTGAGAGAGGTTTATCGCGGAAACAGTAAAGGGCTCCAGAGGGCGATGTGAACGGCTGAAACTGGGCTGTGACGGAGGAGACTCGCAACACTCTGGAGCAGCGGCCCACTAGCCTAATGGCGAGTACCGCGTCGCAGGTGGCAGAGAAGCTCATTCTCCGCCACCTTACTCGACGACCCCTGCTACCAAGGCTGGAAGGGCCGGAGATCACACAGCTGAATGTTCGCTTTCAGCAAGTTCCGGTAGCAAAAGCAGCAGGGGGGGTCAACTCGAACACGCCGCCTGGACCCCAGATCCTGTTTGGCTTCAATGCCAAGTTTTCACCCCGGCGTACCTTATTCTGAAGCTCCAGCCTGGAGGGGGTTGGGGTCATTGGCCTGTGGACTGAGTGGGTTATGGAAGTCGAGACCTCTCAGAAGGTGGGTAGACTGGTTCCGGACGGTTCCTCTCAGTCCTCTCTGGTGCAGGAAGATGGGACGAGAGGCGTTCGGATCAGTGTTACTGTTGTTCAGGGGGTTGTTTCGAAACTGCCCATCCTTGCAGCAGCAGCGACGTCAGCAGCTTTGCCATAGGAAAATCGTTTGAGCGAACCGTGTATATTTTTAGCCTTTCACTCAGGTCTCTGTACACGTGACGATACTCGTGTCTCCAGTCCCGTGCACTGCTGACTAACTGGAAGGGACAAGTGGCTCAGCCCGCCTCAGCCCGCCTCAGCCACGACATAAACTGACATGTGCATTTGTGCAGTTCATCCTCTCCCGGAGGCTAGAGCATAATTCAGCTACTGCTGCGGCACTGCACCTAAGAACCTAGCCACATTGCGCTTACGTTCGTCCCGAGGAGCCCGAATCGCGGGGTCCGTTATCTGGAAGTGGGGTTCGGTTGTCGATCCCCGTCTATCGATGTCAGCCGCCCCTCCCAAGCTTCCTAAGGTAGAGCTACCTTACATCACCTCACCTTTTGAGACCTGTTTTTGCCTCATCTCTCTCTCCACAACCATCTCAACGTTTGCGTTCGCCTACGCATCGTCTGTCCGTTGCTAGCCCCCGATCGACTCTGCGGAACGCTCTAGAGCTCTGCCCGTTCGCTCGTTGCGGTCACGCCACCTCGCCCGCCACCCCCGCCCTCGCTTGTGTCTTCGCATTCAAAACGAGCTCATGGCTTCCGTGGAGCATTGCCTCTACTGCTTCGAGGCTCTCGCCTCGCACCTCGAGAAGCGGCCCGGCCTCTCCCTCAAGGAGATCCAGCGGTCATGGCCCGAGTACGCAAAGACCCTCGGTGACGGCAAGGATGGCAGCAAGAAGCTCCTCCCCGCACTGCAGCGCCTGGCCGAGCCCGCGAGCGACTCGGCATCGGCATCCTCCAGCTCCACCGTTTCACTGGCCGCCGAAACTCCCGCGACATCGACCGACTCCCTCCCCGACGGCGGCGACGATGACGATAACGGCAACGCTTCCATCACTGAGTCCCCGCTCTTCGTCACCTGGAACACCATCTCCCCACGCTCGGGCCACCGCTCGCTGCGGGGTTGCATCGGCACCTTTGAGGCCCAGGATCTCGAGGACGGCCTGTCGAGCTACGCGCTCACCTCGGCGCTGCACGACACGCGCTTCCCGCCCATCGAGGCTTCAGAACTGCCCTCGCTCGAGGTGGCGGTGACGCTGCTCACCGACTTTGAGGATGCCGAAGACGCCATGGACTGGATCATCGGCGTGCACGGCCTTCGCATCAGCTTCATCTACCACGGCAAGCGGTACGGCGCGACGTACCTCCCGGACGTCGCCGTCGAGCAGGAGTGGACCAAGGAGGAGACGCTCGTAAGCCTGATGCGCAAGGCCGGGTGGATGGGCAGCAAGAGCAAGTGGCGTGACGTCGAGCTCAAGGTCGTGCGGTATCAGGGTAAGAAGGAGTCATTGGAGTATGGCGAGTACAAGAAGTGGGCCGACTGGGTCAAGAAGAACAAGGCCAAGTCCGGCTGAGTGCCCCCTTTATGAAGGATGAATATTGGCGTTAGATTTGTTTGCGACTACTCTTGGGGGTAGAGGGGCTTTTTGTCTTTCTTTTATTCTTCTTCTTCCTCTTAGGGAATCGCGGGCTAGGCGACAGGTTACACGGGGATAGAAGGCTCTGATCTTGGTATAGACAGGAGGACGCCTTGGTGTTAATACAGATTCAGTCCCAGCTCCGTCATTGGTGAGTAAGGATTTCTTTGCCGTGGAAAAGGATGTTCCAGAAAACTCGAGCATGCGAAACCTTTCAATGGACTGCGGCCAGCGGTGCCGCCATGGGGGCATCCCGTCCTTCGGGCTTGCCAGGTATCAACCTAATCAGACCAGACGACGGGGGATTCCGCTGCTGGATTCATCGCAGAGTCTTCGAGTCAGCCGACGTTTAAAATGATTCAGCCCAAGAAAGCCGGCGGTGGACAGACAACAGACAAGTAGTTCTCTGGCGTTATGGGACGACTTGGTCTTCGGCAACATGCCAGCTTTGCTGCACCAAACTCGGATCACGGAAGGAGTCCCATATATGAAAGCTTTCTCGTCGTAGTGGCGCCAATCGATGTGGTCAACTTTTACAATCCTGCGATCGCCCAAGCATCCGGCTCATCAGCGCCTCGGTCACCCATTGAATATGCCAACCATCGAACAAGCACCCAGCGAATACACCGGTCATTGTCGCTATTGGAACCAAGTATTGAATCATGCGCGAACTGCCAGATCACCTTTCCGAGGCTCCATCCACCTACGCATGGCAAAGAGATAGACATAGACCTCGCGATCGTCGCGGTAGTATACTTAAGACTTGGAATAGGGGCCAGCG